GGAGCCGATGGTAGTGTCAGGTGTGGGCTCGGGTCGGGGTTCAGAGATGATCTTTGGGGGTAAAGAGGGCTGTGGGTCTTCTTGGAGGAGTTGAGCCGATTGCCATTCTCTGGCTTCTCGGAGAGCTCTGCTTAGGGTTTCTTCGGCGGTGATGGTTCGATTGCTGAAGATGAGCTGGTTCCGGGTACGCCAAATCGACCAGCAGATCCAGGGGAAAAGTGAGGCCGAGGTGATTCCGGAGGGAGGTAAGCAAGTCCATTTCTTAGCCATTCTTAACCCCATTTTGAGGTTTGCGATTTCTGACACATCGAATTGGTGTTTGAATGGTGCTAGGTTCCATATCCTCTCAGCAAAGCGGCAGTGGAAGAGCATATGAGTGGTTGATTCTGATTCTGGGCAGTGCGGGCGTTCATAGAGAGTGTCCGATATCCTTCTCATGAAGTTTTCGCCCACAGGTAGCGCTTCGTTGACTGCTTTCCAGACAAAGATTTTCTGCTTTTGGGGGGTTTTTTGGGACCATACCTCCGAAATCCAGCTGAAGGTGTCGGGGGTATTTTTTGAGGTGTTAAGTCTACATTGTTTTAGGATTTGGTTTCTCTCCACACCCAATTTGAAATTTTATTGAAATAGTTATAAATCCAAAAACACAAAAAATAATTAAATAATTATTGTTATCAAATTTCTTTTTTTAAGTTTCAACTGGTTATTATTCATAAGCCTTTGTAAGGCAAATATCCAACTGTGATTTTCAGGTAGAAACTGAACCAATTTATAATGTCTTAGTTGAGGTTTCTATTGGATTTAGTTCGCTAGGTTAGTTCGACAAAAACTGTTAAAAATAACGTAAAATAAATAACATTAGAATCATTAAAACGCTTAAAATTAATAATGCAGTGAAGAACTCTAATGAAGAAGATACTTACCCAATTAACAAAGTCTCACTAGATCTCTTCCTCCAATTGTGTCACTTGACAAATTCATGTCACTCATAGTTTCAAAATCTCCATTTAACTCTTTCACTTCAGATGTTGGAAAATGATCATTGTTTCGTATAATAATGAAGGAGAAATAATTTTGATTTAAGAAAGGGGGTTTTTTTTTATTCAAAAGAAAGAGATATGAAGATACTCAAAAAGAGAAGTTTTAGCGTGTTATAGTTGGCGTCTTTATTCTCTTTCAGATTCATTTATACTATAATTGTCGATAGTCTTCTATGATATAAGTTTAGTATGTGTAAGATCAACATTTTATATTATACGATTTAAATAACATAGCAGCTCACAAAGGAGACAAAGTAAAGATAAACCCTAAGCTGATAACATTTAAAGGTGAGGACTATATAAATATGCCAAACATCCATGAATATGTCTTGAGTGAACAATGGTTATTTCTATTTGTTATAAAACAGATTAACATAAATTTTTTTTATTAATAAAAAATAATTTTATAAAATAAATAAAAATTTGTTTTAAAGAATAGTTTTATTGTGAATTTTTACGTTTAAGGTACTTTCCGTTAAAAATGAATATATATGAGAATTAATTTTAATCTTGACCTTTTATATCCACAACTTAGATATGGTTTTACATCATCCAAGTGTCCATTAGTGTTTTAATTCGACTTCAACTCACCATTACAACCATTTATGTCTCTTTGAACACAACAAAACATCTAATACAAATATTTTTCTAAGAAAACTTACATTTGCACAAAATAATAAATGATGTGGCATAAATTAATGTTAAGATGGTTTTACTATTAAGCTTTAAAACTTTAAAGTTTAAAATACTATTCTAAATAAATATTTTTGTGCCTGCATGTTCACAAAGTCTATAATCAAGAAGTGGTATATCATTTGATACTTTGAACATGTTTTGGAGAAAAACAACTAGATGGGTGAGCGATTATTTTTTAAGTTAAAAACATATAAAACTATGATGAAATTAAGTAGGATGTCATTTGAGTGAATTTTTATATCAATTTAGAAGGTCAGTTTAAGACAGTAAGGATAATACCATGAATTAGGCTCTTGGTGAGAGGAGATTCGGTTAGGTGCAGTAATTACTACAGTTGAAGAATTGCACATAAGCATGTTCCACCATATGTATTGCCTTACATCCATCTCTGGTAAAAATTAGATAAACAGTGACTATGACATAAAATGCAACTAAAACATAATTTCATTAACAGATTTGTATATTTATTAAAATATACATAATATTAATTTTAATGTATTTTTATTTTATATAAATATAGCATTAAATCAATAAAAAGATAATTAAAAAATAATCCGCATAAATAAATCAATTTTTGTTTTCATGGTACTTTCATAATATACAAAATGTCAATATTACTTTGTTTTTTTTTAGATCAAATAATATATTTCAAACAATTAGTTCAATAGAGATTTTTTGAATTTTGTTTATTTTTAATTAAAACATAAACAAAATTTTATAAACATAAATATTAATCATATAAATAAAACGTTTAAATCAACTTTCCGCTGCGTAGCGCAGGTATATACCTATTTTGTAACAATTTTTAAACAATTTTGCTTTTATCCGGTTGAAGAATTTGTAACAATTTTGAAGCTACAGTGTATGGAGTACACACAAGACTTTGTAACAGATCATTTCCTAGTCTCCACTAGTCCATAAACGTCCTTAGTTGATATGTTAGGCTTGTTGACCATATCGTACTATTGTGGTCCACGATAGGAAACTCTTAGTATGAATTTGATTCTGCATCTCGAATCTGCATGCATCATTGCCATATGGACTGATATTTTTTTTAAAAAAAAAACTGTTTCGTAAATATATAGCATATATATATGGACTGATACTTGTATAGTTAAAAATTAATTTTTGCATTCAGGGAGCATCCTAATTTTATAAAATTTGCGTGAAATTGGTTAAAAGGCATTACACCACTATCACATGACTTCACTCTCCCCAAAACCGAGCAGATAGTCATTATCGTACAAAAAAAATTATTCAATATATTTGATATTTAGGTAAGAAAAGCAAAAACAAGTTTTTATTTAATATTTACTTTAACAACAAACAAGGTTTAATTCAATATTTGATGGCAAGCACACGCAGCTAAAGCTACAGAAACATTTGCAGTCTGTGGATAAAAAGATGAAGATAACGAAAAAATTGAACAGACGTTTCTTGACAAACAAGTAACAAGAGCATGATATATGAAATTCATAATTTGAACTACCCTGTTTTTATTTAGGTAATATAGACTAACATATTAATTATGTGAATCTTTTTCTAAAATCAAAAGATGTCAGCGTTATAACATACAACATGGTCTGAACTCTGAAGTATCATACTTACTATTAGTATATCTGCAGTGTGATTAAAGCAAGCCCTATTTATCGTGAAAGAAAATGAAATTGGATTAGACAACTTGACATGTGATTTGTAATATTTTTCCACGTGATGAATGAAACTATTCAGTACATTTGTAAGTTTTATTAAAAGATTCATCTTTTTGTAATAGGTGTAGGATGTTTATGTTTTTTTTTTTTCACAAGAAACACCATTCTAAAAGTTCAAAATTCTTATAAATACCATTCAAGGAAGAAAAATATGGACCATAGAAGCGTGATGTGAACCAAACCAATAAAAATATATATACATTTGGAACTTCTTTAAACGGTATGCGTCACGCGCATTCACTATTAAAGTAATAACGTTGGTATCTATATAGCTGTAATCGATTTAAATTGAATTATTATTAATATATTTGTAACTTTTAGCATAGCCATCTACGATCTATTCTTCGGAACGTAGGGATCATCGTTCCCCTATACTAGGGTATCGTAATCGTATTGTCATAGCGGGTGTTTAGAAATATATATATAAAAATCTGTAAACCCCAAATCACCTACTGCCACAAGAAAAATTGTACCTAAAGAAGAAGAAGAAAGAAGTGAAATTTCGGATCCAAAACTCGAACAGCTGTCTCATGCCTATATCAAACTTAGTAACTCACAATATCACATCTGGAACCAGATTCTGTGAAGATAGAAGAAACACACCAAAAAAAAAACATCCATACTGTTTGCGATAAGTCTTATACGGGTTACAACAAAAATTAAAGTCTTCTCCTATGCTTCTTTTATTTATGTTTTTGCTATACACGGGAAAAAACGAAAACTATCAAATCACATGATTGATTGGAGTTTTTTTATTTTTATCATTTGTTACTTTTTGTCTTTTTTGGTTGTAGTTGGAAGTTGAACTCTTAGCTAATTATGTTTATAAGGTATCTATATATGCCATGAAATAAAAAGCCGAGTAACAAACTTCATTCGAACAATAATATCATTTTAAATGGTATCTATATATATGTCTATTAGATCAAACTCAAACACTTGTTGTTTTCTTGAAAATTCATAGTATTTAGGGGTAAATGATACTACTAACAACATCCACTTTAATTACAAATTTACAATGACCGATCCAAAAAGTTAAATTATTATATAAAGAAAGGAAGATAGTTCGCAACACCAACAAAGCAACGGCCCGAGAATAACGGTAGCTTTGCGGAGACACACAACTAAGATAGTTGCAGGATCATGTGCCACGCCTACACTTTCTTTTCAATTCCATCTCATTCACGCGTTTTTTTTTTCTTACATTCTTTTAATTATATATAATCACAATCCACATAATATCCCTTAATCTATGCCTAGAACATGCATAATATAATAGTTAATACATTCCACCACTAAAAGCCAAAAGTATGGTATATAGTAGTAAAAAAAAACTCATTTGTACAAAGAGGATGAAAGAATGAAAAATAACGGAATCCAATAACAATGTTTGTGATAAACGGACATAGAATGTGAATTATTATATTGTATAGTATAAATGATCTGTAAAATGTTGGCATCGAAATATCGTATATATAGAAATATAATAAAACGAAATTTTGTAATAAAGAGAGGAGAGGGCAAAACGGGGAACATGTCACGCGGATAGGTATGAGAGAGTAAATGACGTAGGTTCCGTTATTTAAGAACCCCTTAAGAGGTTCCCACACACCACAAGAGAGAGAGAACGAGAGAGAGAAAATGGGGAGAGATGAAGAAGATGACAAGAACGGAGGAGGAGAGAGAAGGCTGGGAGATGAAACGGCGTCGTCATTATTGGACGGAACGGGGTTGGTTTGTGTAACGGGAGGGACTGGATTCGTTGCTTCTTGGCTCATCATGCGTCTCTTACAACGTGGCTACTCCGTTCGAGCCACTGTTCGGGCCAACGCAGGTTCGAATCGGTTTTATTTACTTTCGAATTAGCTTCACTTTCTCTTTATACACATTGAATTGAATCATCATTACTGTTTTACCCAATGCGAGTACAATTGCTGTTTGTTTTAGGGTTGATTGGTCCGTTTTAACATAAAGTACAAAAAGAAAGATAGACTATATTTTATATTTATAAATAAATATAATAACATTTAAAGTTGATTTTTGGATCGCCAATTAAAATATGAATTTTTTTTATGGGTGTGGAAAATTTATTGTACTTGGCTGGAATTATCTGTCAGCTTGTAGGATCTTGAAGCTCCTCCATAGCGATGTAATGTCCATGCATCTTCTATATAGAAAGTCAACCATATTAATTATTATATGACCAATAATTAATAACCATATGATTTAAATCATGATGTTAATATTTCATAATTTGTTTTTTTTATTAAATACAGAAGGGAATAAGAAAGATATATGCTACCTTACCGAACTCCCATTTGCATCGGAGAGGCTAAAAATATTCACCGCCGATCTCAACGAACCGGAAAGCTTTAAACCGGCGATCGAAGGATGCAAAGCCGTATTCCACGTGGCACATCCTATGGACCCGAGCAGTAACGAATCCGAAGAGACCGTAACGAAACGCACCGTACAAGGTCTCATGGGGATACTAAACTCGTGTTTGGACGCTAAAACCGTCAAACGCTTTTTCTACACGTCAAGCGCCGTAACCGTTTTCTACGGCGACGGAAGCGGGGGCGGAGGAAACGGAGGAGAAGTAGACGAGAGCGTTTGGAGCGACGTGGAAGTTTTTAGGAATCAGAAGGAGAAGAGAGTGAGTAGCTCTTACGTTGTGTCAAAAATGGCGGCGGAGACAGCGGCGCTTGAGTTCGGCGAGAAGAGTGGATTGGAGGTTGTGACGCTCGTGATCCCTCTCGTCGTCGGACCTTTTATATCTCCGTCGTTGCCTTCCTCCGTCTTCATCTCTCTCGCCATGATCTTTGGTACTTAATTCTTATATCTTCAAAATATTTATATTATTCTTCATAATTAATTTAAAGATCCATACATACATAACAACTCTAGCTACATATATAATTTAGAAAAAAAAATCAGAACTATTAAGTAAATTTTAACCAATTTCATGCATGGTGATGGAATTAATGGCAAAAAAATTCATTATGTAATCTGAGGAATCAATGTTTTCAAATCTTCATATAGCGATTTCAATCATGTTTGACAAAACTAAATGTTTCAAATGATAAAATACTCACTTACTCAGCGGTAGCCAGTAGGTCCCAAATGATTAGTCTGAAATTCTATTAAATGCAACATGCAAAACTGTAATAATATCAACCAGATTAAATATGTTTGTATTTGACACGAAAATAAAACTAAAAATTTATTTACAGCATATAGAATTTCTCCATGGTTGTGTTAATACGTGTAAACATGTGTTAATGTCCACAATTTGGCATTTTGAGTAAAAATGATCGATGATACTTCACTATAAATAAATTCATTTTATTTTTTTGTATTGAAGGAAATTACAAGGAGAAGTATTTGTTCGACACTTACAATATGGTGCATATTGATGACGTAGCAAGAGCGATGATATATCTACTAGAAAGGCCAATAGCGAAAGGGAGATATATATGTTCGTCGGTGGAGATGAAGATCGATGAGGTCTTTGAGTTTTTGTCGTCTAGATTTCCTCAGTTCCAGCTACCTTCAATTGAGTAAGTATATTACTCCACGTGTTCTTCTTTTATTAGTTTCTCCAAGCATTTGATTTATAATTCTTTTTTTGTCCTTTTTTCTGTGGATACGTAAAGTTTGAAAAACTATAAAGTAGAGAAGAGGATGAGTCTGTCGTCGAAGAAGCTGATGAGTGCAGGGTTCGAGTTTAAGTATGGAGCCGAGGAGATATTCGCTGGAGCTATAAAGAGCTGCCAGGCAAGAGGCTTTCTTTAAATTCTTTTGAGGTTTTTTTTTTTTGGTTAAAAATTGTATATGAATTGAAAATATCATTTCTTTTATTGGCCATTTCCGTTTTGTAACACGTTCTTGCTTACTTGTTGACGAAAGAACAAAAATTGTTTCAACATCATATCCATTTTCTTTTTAATAACAAATTAATCGAAGAAGGATGAAAAAAACGAAACTAAATAAACGGCTTATTGACGAAAGAACAACAATGTTTGTACTTTCTTTATATTTTTTCTTGAACAATTAACCAGAAGATCAAAAAACAAACATGAAACTAATTAAACACTTATCCCACACGATCACAGAGTTTAAGACACTTGCGCTTTTTTTTTTTTTTAACACTTATCCCACACGATCACAGAGTTTGTCCAAATGCAAAAAAATGCATCTTTAAATTATTGTGTCCAAAAGAATGTATAATTGCATTCAAAGACTTGTAAAAAGAACGTTTGTCCAAACAAAAAAAAGACTTGTAAAAAGAACTAGCAGGGAATGATTTGCAATATTTTCATCGTACGTTCTCTCTCTACCATAGAGTGATTATGTTCCTTTGAAGATGGGATTCAATGTCAAACAAAATCCACAATCCACAATAGATATTCCAACAAAAAACTTGTCAAAAATCATGAATTATATTATATGAATATATCTCTTCAAACGAAAAACCGCAGAACTACTCAATTAAGATAGTTTAATTCATACTATAATCATATGCCACATTAGGCCGTTCAAATTAATCACTTCTTATCATATGCTACGTTAGGCCGTTGTTGTAACATGGGCCATTGAAAGCATGTGGCCATCACATACGACCCAAAGCTTGGCCTTCTTTTAAAGTCTTGGAATGGAGAAGTAACGGTTAGATTGACCTATAGAGAAGTTTTTCTCATTGCCAAAAGTGCTATAAAGCTTCGGCTTTCTCAATCGTATGTAGCAGCAGCGCAACCCCAATGGCTTCTCAATCTGTATTACATTTTCCAATTAATGATAAATTCAAGATGAAATTAGAAAAATAAAAAAAAAATCATATGCCACTTTAGGCCGTTTAAATTTGTCAAATTTCGTTGATAATAAAATGATATATCCTCCAAAATTTCTAAGACTAGTTGAGGAAAAAAGGAAACACCAAATCCGGAAGTAAAAAAAAAAACATTTTGTCAGGTTCGAAATTTCTCACTAACATTTTTGTTCCGTAAACCTTTTTTGAATCAAATCGTCTTTCGATCCCAGATTAAACCCACAAATCTAAGATTTCCCAAGAAAAGTCTCTCCTCCTGTTTTCCGCACCGATCCAGAAATCGGAAAGATTAGATTTTTACCATCGATCGTGATTGATTTTGACTATGCATAGATCGGGTACTGCAATGGCGTGGAACGTCTTCAAATTCTGTACGGCTCTACGAGGACTCGGATCGATCATGATCCTTCTCGTCTTGGGTGTTGTTGGCGTCACCTACTACGCCGTCGTCTGGACCAATTACGGTCCGGCGCTATCAGATGGAGGCATCGATTCTCTTGCCGCGCTTGCTATTATAATCCTTTTCCATTTCTTGGTATACCCTTTTTATCAGCTTATTGATTTCACCATTTCTTCTATCGAACGAAAAGTTTCGGACTTTGATCTCATTGCTAATCCAACGAAAAAGTTTCGGACTTTGATGATGGGTTCTTCTTCATAACTGTGTTGGGTTTCGTACAGCTGGCGATGCTTCTGTGGAGCTACTTCTCTGTTGTGTTTACTGATCCTGGTGTTGTGCCTCCGAATTGGAGGTCAGCTTCAGACGAAGAACAACGAGGCGAGTCTGATCCGTTGAACAGTTTGGAGTTTGGCGGGTTACAGCCTGATTCTTCCAGCCAAAGAAGTCGGTTTTGTAGAAAATGCAATCAGCCTAAGCCTCCTCGTTGCCACCATTGCTCTGTTTGTAAGATCTCTCATTCACACTTTCTATTTTTCTTTTAGATCATTTGTTGAAAGGAGAATCATGAGGCTGATTGTGTGTGTTTTCACATTAAAATCCAGGTGGTCGGTGTGTGTTGAAAATGGACCACCATTGTGTTTGGGTTGTTAACTGTGTTGGGGCTCTTAACTATAAGTATTTCCTTCTTTTTTTGGTAAGTCTACTTTTGATCTATTTGTCAATTTCCCTTTGTGATCCCTGTCCTGTTAATGTTGCATTGCTGTTCCCCATAGAAAGGTTCAAAGTTTAGTTTAGCTCCAGATCTTAAAGTTGAATTTCGCCAAAGTAGTTTCCTTTAATGTTTCTTACCAGAATTAGAGTTTTTTTTGGCTTTAGGATACATCGATATATGTTACTGGCAAGAGATGTGAAATTTCTTACTATTTTGTGTCATAACTCTTCAAATGCAGCTTTACACCTTTATGGAAACGACTCTTGTGACTTTGCTTCTCATGCCTCACTTCATAGCCTTCTTTAGCGATGAAGAGATACCTGGAACCCCCGGCACACTTGCTACTACGTTTCTTGCATTTGGTACGTTCTTCCCAGTTCATAGTTTTGTTATGCTTTAATCGATTTTCTCAGTTCCATCTGAAGATGTTTCATCTTCACTACACCGCAGTTTTAAACCTGGCATTTGCTTTAAGCGTTATGGGTTTCTTAATTATGCACATCTCGCTCGTAGCTGCCAATACAACAACTATAGAGGTGTGTTCTTTTCTTTTTAATCTCTAGCCTGTAACAGTTTGGTGCATCCACATGGTTAAGATCTGTTTCGTGTATTGACTTTGTTTGTGAACAGGCGTATGAGAAGAAAACAAGTCCAAAATGGCTGTATGACCTTGGTCGAAAGAAGAACTTTGAACAAGTAAGTGTAGACTTTGATAACTTGTTTTGGACTTCTAAAAAGTTTCTTACTTTCTTTCTCGAGTTGTAATCATTTTTGTGGGAATTTACGTTTTTCAGGTATTTGGCACGGATAAGAGGTACTGGTTGATTCCGGCATACTCAGACGACGATCTAAGGCGAATGCCGGAACTTCAGGGACTCGACTACCCTTCAAAACCCGACTTTGATTCGCAAGATTTCTGAAGAAAAGATGGTTTCTTTACCTGCAAGGGCTGTAACCATACCTTAGAGATGACAGAGGTAGAGAGAAAGAGGCGGAAAATGACTTTGGAAGATGAAATGTACTAACTTTAAAGAGTTCGCTTCTCGCTTACACGGTGTCGTTTCTTCCCACGGATTGAAGAACGCTGAGACTAAGGGCAAATCATACGACGACCAGATGATATTTTGGATACATATGTTCTTCGTTTTTGAGTAGTTAGGATCATATGATCTATAATTTATAAATGTAGAGCCAGTCTCACGTTGAGAAGAAACTTGCTGTTTGGTTACTGATTTTCTTAAAAGTCTGTCTCTTTTGTTGAGATGTTTGTCATTTTTTTACTTTTGTCACTGGAATTTTGTGGTAAAACATAAAAAAAAAAGTCATGAGGAAGACGCTAAGAATGATGAAGAAGCTTCTAGCTTATGGTGTAAATGACACGTGTCTCAATCTTAATGCGCTTATATAATAAACAGAGTGCTGTTGTATATATCTCTTCTGAATCAGGGGAATCGTCTGTGGGATTTCTGGGCTCTTCTCGGATTCTCTCGCAGGTACTCTCTTCTCTTTGGTCTTTCTTCTTCCAAGATCTCTTCGATTTTTCTGTTGTTTTGAGTCTAATAGAGAAAGATGCTGTGCGTTACGATATGGTTTTGAATTTCCGATTAGCGGAGTTGAAGTTTGTCTTCCATTTTTTGGTTCTCCGTATAGATCTGTTTGATGAACTGTAAGAGAGATGGTAAGGCCATGTCAAGTTGCTAACTTTGTTACTGAATTTATACAAAAAAGATTGCAGAGCTTAACGAAGAATTGGGAAAATGGGCGATCCATTTCCATTTGGTGGTAGATTCGGTAATTTTGGCGGTTTCGGAGCATTTAGTGGTAGCTTTTTTGGAGGAAGAGATCCTTTTGATGACCCTTTCTTCTCTCGGCCATTTGAAGATTTGCTCGCACCAAACACCTTTAGTTCAGGTGCTTCCTTTAGTGTAGCACAGAACAACAATGGTGGGAGAGGTTTAACAATTGAAGAATTACCCTCTGATGAAGAAGAAGAGGAAAGGAAAGATTTTGGAAGTGACGAAGAACATACTAGTTCAGAGAATCAGCCATGTGTTGAGCACCCTGAAGATGATGCTGATGGTAAATACTAGTAGTCATTAGATAACTTTGTTTACAGATTGTATTCTAATTACAGCTCATGTCTATGTGTGATTTGCTTGGTTTTGTTGTAGCTGAGAGGAAGATTCAAAATGTGAATCAAAGGAGTGATTTCAATAGAAGAGAGGCTACGCAGTCTCGAGCCAAAACATTCAGACATCACACCTCAAAGGTTACATATGGTGGCATTGATGGTGCTTACTATACATCCAGTAGAACCAGAAGAGCAGGCAGCGACGGAGTATGTTTGTCTCTCTTTTCAAATCATTTCTATTAGTGGAATTTTTTTTTTTAAAAACATAGTAATCGGATTCTGTTTCTAGATGGTGGTTGAGGAAAGCAGAGAAGCCGATAAGACTACTGGTGAGGCCACTCATAGGATCTCCAGAGGAATCAATGATAAGGTGATAATAGTTACTGTTGATGTTGATGTTTTTGCTCCATCACTTCTTTGATTCCAACAAGTTTCAATGTTGGTTTGGTGTGTGTGTGTTCAGGGTCATTCGGTTACTAGGAAGCTTAACTCGAGTGGTGGCGTAGTCTCGACACAGACTCTACACAACCTCGATGAAGGTCGGTCTGCAGAATCATACACAGCCTAATCATAAGTTTAAGCTCTTTGAAGGAAAATGATGAGAATCTAAAAGACTGCTTCTTTGTTTTGTTTCAGAAGAACTAAGTGGCTTTGAAGAAGCATGGAAAGGCAATTCATCTCTTGCCAAGCATGAACCCACTGGTTAGCAAACTGTTCATCTCAAAACTGTCTTTGATTCTCAAAATTCAGACTCAGAATCGAGTTTTCAGTCTGTTGTTTTACTATATTGTTTGCATCTCCGTACAATGTTGCAGGCTCTGATCATAGCTTTGGAGGATGGCTTCTTAAATCTCCCCACCAAACTGCTCGACGACCAGACGAAAGTCAGACCGGTTCGAGCCGATCTGCAACTGGAGCTAAGAGGGTTGTTCGGATCAACATTGAATGAATCATGCTTATAGGAAAACATGTATCAATCAGTCGTCTATGTGCGTACTCAAATAATGATGTTTGACGTTGTAATGTCAAATACTTTTACATTCGTGTGTGAACGCAATATAATGATCTCGAGTTTTGATTGTAGAAAATTATTTTGTAACGTATATACAACATTGGTCTCGCAAAGGCAAAATGAAGTAGCCCAAAACAGAAGGCAAGTGGTTTTAGACTTTAGCGTCTGAATAAATGCTCCTCTCCTGATATATGATCCACGTGTCTAATCCAACGGCTAGTAGGCTTCCTCGAGTCACTACGCTGATGGCTACCGGAGGCTCCCACGTGTACTATATCTAACCCACTCCCAACCGGTAAAAACACGGATCTCACAACACGCGTCCCACCTTTCAACACATCTTGCCATTTAAACCCAGAGATCGCTCTCTGCGTGGCGTTTTTACCCACCAAAACGGCACCCTTGTTGCTCAATTTCGCAAACTTCAGCGTTCTGACAAACTCACGCCGCTTCGAGTCCACCACCATGAAGTCTACGCCGGAAAACTCCTCCACCGTGTCCTCCACAAATTCTCCGATCACCACAACCTCCGTAACCTCCGTCGTAAAGACTCTTCTCATGGCTGATACGTACTCCAGTTTAGACTGCTCATCAGGTACTAAACACACGTGTCTTCCGCACGTGTGAGTTGCGGCAACCGCTAGTCCGACGCTAGTCGCGATTGGATCGCCGCGTGACCATGTCTCAACGATTAGCCTCGCGTTCCATCCTGCCGCCGTAGCTGATAAAAACTCCGCTACTCCTGATTCCTTGTAGCTTTTGCACTATACACATACGCATGCAAATTAATTACAGATAAATAGCATATATGTGTATACACATCTTATATATAATCTATAGTTATAGTTAAATCACATACCGATTGAACAGTGTGGACATAGGCGTCAGAAGCGGTTTCAGGCGACCAGATAAGCTTCATGGTGAGAGTGAAATGGAGATTTTATGATATGAAGGAAGCGGTTAGGTTATATATAAATAGACAACCGAAGCGTTGACAAATGCTTACACCAATTACAACGTGTCAATTGGTCTCATTGCTCCCATTTATTACTACTCCCTATTAATTATTATCCTCCCCATCCTCTTTTTTCTTTTTTTCCCTTCCACACTGTTACTGATCATTTATTTCATCAATCAATTAAAAAAATCTGAGTGAATATCAAACTCATAATAATAATAATTTGAGTATATATGTCGTCGACTTGCGTCAGCCTACCCTTCTGACAAGGAAAAGTGAAAAAAATCAATATATATATATATGGATAATACATATGTCAGTAAAAATCCATCGATCCGCTATAATATGTGTCCAACAAGTATACAACTTCATATGTATCATCTAAAATGAGTTACTACTTCATATGTATTCCCTAAAATGAGTTACTATTAGTTTATCTAAATTATACGCCAAAAAAACGTTTGTTGTATGCTTGTTCATTTATATAAATGTTTGTTGGATGCTTGTTCGTTTTTATTGGAGTTCATTTTTTTATGAAATTATATTTGATCATTGGTTTTGTACTAATTGATTGTCATGGTACGTTTTGGTACTTGTTTCATTTTCGTCAAAAGGGTGGAGTGTAAAAATATACGTATCAAAGTAATTGATTGCTGACATTGTGGACTTGGTTAGACAACTTGAATAATTTACATGAGATGGTCAGCCTCAATCTTTGATTTTTTTTTTTCCTTTTTCATTTGTTCATTTTAAATCTTTGATTAAACCTTTGTTATTTCAACATAATGACGATTCAAATTTTGTTTTTTACTTTGACAGTCGCTTTCATTGTGCCAACCAAAGGTTAGTAATATAAGATAACATCAAACATATATAAACGCAATTTTATCGCCGGCTAGTTTGGTTTATGTTGCACGTACCATATATATAAGCTAAACCGATATGCGACAAATATATCTATTAATTACAAAGCATATAAGAAGATCATTGAATGTATTATTAGTGGTAGCTCGAACGACCACAAAAATGTGATTATAATATTTTGAATTGAAATTCAAGTTATATATGAAAATAGCTTTTTATAATTTGTCTTCTTCTTAGGTCCAAAACCTGGCTTGATCTATGAAACAATAATTAAATCCGCCGATGAAATCTATGTATACGCCTTCTTAGTCTTACAATCAATATATTGATAAAATTTTATAGTTAACTAACCTCAACACACACATATGATTATTGTAACCTTATAATCACTTTACTGATTAAATTATATGATTAAATTAACTAAGCTAGTAAAAACTCATGAATTATGATTGCAAATGTGTTGTGTAGCCCCGAATGTGCAAAGCCTATGAGTAGTTATGAACTTAATTTGCATTACCGTGATAACTTAAGTCGAATATTAAGCTCATAATATAGTATTTTGGTCGGGACATGCATGATAGGAACAGCCAAATATCTAGCTAAGTACTCTTAAGCTAAATAAATTCTGAAGTTGACATGATTTTAATTTGATTTACTATTGAGTAAACGACAAAATCGCGCTTTCGTTTTATATTAAAGACGCATGATTTTTAAATGGCAACTTTGCATAAGAAATTATATTCTATTTAAAAATAATCAATTTGATAAAGGGAATAAATGTACGATATATCGTACCACTCCATCGTGACTATGACTTATGAAGAAGTCAATGCTTATCAACTTGCTTATCAATATCTTATTATCACTATCAGTTTTCTATTTTCTATACATATAAACGTAGGGATTCGTTTGGAGGACATATTATAATCGACCTAAACTTTAAGATCTATCTAACTTCTGAAGAGGAAGAATATGCTTTAAACTCGAGTGTTAGTCTAATTCTATTATTTCTTTATGATGTCTCTACTCTCTAATCACTTCGTTGATACCATTTAATAATATGTTTCACAAAATGTTTACGAATCACTTGTGATATTATAAGTTTGTAACGCGAGTTTGTTAGGTTGAGGCATCACACACAGGTCGAGAAGTTGGTGATAGCTGAAATTATTCGACAGGTCTTGGGCTTAATAATAATTATTGGGCCACAATTTGCGAAGCCTGCTTGCTTGTAAGCAATACTAATCGACGTCGTTTCGACTCATTCCCACAGAGAGAAAACTTAGCCGTTAAACAGAAGAACATAACTCTGTGATGCTTGTCTTGGGCTTAATAATAATTATTGGGCCACAATTTGCGAGTCTGCTTGCTTGTACGCAATACTAATCGACGTCGTTTCGACTCATTCCCACAGAGAGAAAACTTAGCCGTTAAACGATCATAAACCCAATCCGGTTTATCTCCAACAGAAGAATCATAAACTCTGTGATGCTTGTCTTGGCGCAATCTCAGCATCCATGGAGTTCGATTTCACCCGCCATCCAAATCCTCGGAAGCTGTAAAACTTCAGATGACGTGAACAAAATCCACGCGCGATTGATTAAGTCGGGATTCATCAGAAACCCCAATCTCACGACGAGGATCGTTCTCGCTTTTGCCGCTTCTCGACGTCCGTATCTCGCCGAATTCGCGCGTTGTGTCTTCCACGAGTATCATGTATGTTCTTTTTTGCCCGGAGAGGTGGAAGATCCGTTTTTGTGGAACGCCGTGATAAAATCCCACTCTCATGGAGTCGATCCGAGACGAGCTCTGCTCTTGTTCTGTTTGATGCTCGAGAATGGTGTTTCCGTGGACAAATTCTCGCTGTCTCTTGTTCTGAAAGCGTGTTCGAGGTTAGGGTTTTTCAAAGGAGCAATGCAGATTCATGGGTTTTTGAGAAAAACTGGAATTTATTCGGATTTGTTTCTGCAGAATTGCTTGATTGGGTTGTATTTGAAATGTGGCTGTTTAGGATTTGCCCGCCAGATATTTGATAGAATGCCGCAGAGAGACTCTGTTTCTTATAACTCCATGATTGATGGGTACGTCAAATGTGGATTGATTGAATCTGCGCGTGAACTGTTTGATTCGATGCCAAGGGAGAAGATGAATTTGATATCTTGGAACTCTATGATAGGTGGGTATGCTCAGACAGCAGATGGTGTTAACACAGCGTCACAGCTGTTTGCTGAAATGCCTGAGAAGGACTTGATTTCGTGGAACTCACTGATCGATGGTTATGTGAAACACGGGAGGATCGAGGATGCTCAAGGTTTATTCGATGTGATGCCGAGAAGGGATGTATTTACTTGGGCTACCATGATCGATGGGTATGGAAAGTCAGGCTTTGTTCATCAGGCTAAGAGTCTCTTTGACCAAATGCCACACAGAGATGTTGTGGCGTATAACTCTATGATGGGTGGTTATGTTCAGAACAGGTGTTACATGGAAGCTCTTGAGATATTTAACGACATGGAGAAGGAGAGTCACTTATCTCCCGATGAAACGACTTTGGTGATGGTTCTTTCTGCGATTGCTCAGCTTGGCAGATTATCCAAAGCCATTGATATGCATTTGTACATTGTGGAGAAACAATTCACTTTAGGTGGAAAACTCGGCGTTGCTCTCATTGATATGTATTCGAAATGCGGAAGCATACAACACGCCATGCGAGTTTTCGAGGGCATCGAGAGCAGAAGTATTGATCACTGGAATGCCATGATTGGTGGGCTAGCTGTTCATGGGCTTGGAGAATCCGCATTCGAAATGCTTCTGCAGATCGAGAGGCAAACCATAAAACCAGACCATATCACTTTTGTTGGAGTCCTAAATGCCTGCAGCCACTCCGGGTTGGTGAAGGAAGGCCTTCTCTGCTTTGAGCTCATGAGGAGGAAACACAAGATAGAACCAAGACTGCAGCACTATGGATGTATGGTCGACATACTATCAAGGTCAGGAAGTATAGAGCTTGCCAAGAACTTGATAGAGGAAATGCCAATTGAACCAAATGATGTCATATGGAGAACGTTTCTCACCGCTTGTAGTCACCACAAGGAGTTTGATGCGGGAGAGCTTGTTGCAGAACACCTTATATTGCAGGCTGGCTATAACCCGAGCTCTTATGTGATCCTGTCTAACATGTATGCGAGTCTTGGAATGTGGAAGGATGTTCGTAGAGTTAGAGGGATGATGAAGGAAAAAAAGCTGCAGAAGATTCCTGGGTGTAGTTGGATTGAGCTTGACGGACGAGTCCATGAGTTCTTTGTAGATAGCATGGAAGTTTCCAATACATCATTGTAGATACACGATTGTGCAGCCATATATTTTCAAGGTCTTAAACCTATTCTGCAATTACTTGCCATACATTAAATGGAGAATGAATCAGCGTCATTACATGAAGACAATCTCGCAGCATATTCACATGTTGGTTGGTTTTGTGCAGCTGAGATATGTCTGGAAAAAAAAGGCTTCCCACAAAATCACTAAAATGTCTGAAAAGCGCTTGTTTTTACAGCCTAAGTACATCAGCTACAGTTACAAGGAGATAAGATTGTTACATCGTGAACCTAAACAGAGCAGCTAACATCAGAGGAATACTTGGTCTGCTTTATATTCTTAGGAAAATCAAAAAGCAAGAATCTTGCTAAACGGAAACTAATAACTCGCAGCTAGTTTATTCAGTTCTTGCATAACATCTTCCATGGATGGTCTCTGGTTTGAGTATTCATGAGTGCAGAGAAGACCAAGTCTAGCAAGCTGAGCCGCTTCTGCTTCAGGAAAGTTCTTTCGAAGCTTTGGATCCATGAACTCTTCGTTCAGTCTTCCAGACTCTACAGCTTGTAAGATCATCAAATGGCTGATTTTGCTTTTACCACTGAGCATCTGCAGCAGAATCATACCAAAGGCATAGACGTCGCTCTTATCAGTGAACCTTCCTGTAGTTATGTACTCAGGAGCTAAGTATCCCATCGCAGCACTTGCTTTGAGCTTGGAGAAAACGATATCATCCGTGAAAAGCTTGTGAAGACCAGAATCCGCAAGAGAAGGATTATACCAATGATCAATGAGAATCTTCTCTGCAGATAGATTCTGGTGAACTATTGCAGGTTTGTTCCCATTTTCTCCATGTAAGTACACAATGCCTGAAAGAAAGAAGACAAAGAAGAAGAAAAAGACATGAGACAAGAACCGATTTTAGTTTGCGAAAGAATGAAATCCGCAGAATCCAAACCTCTAGCGATTCCATTTATGATGGAAACTCGGGTTGTCCATTCAAGAACCTCTCCAGCCTCATCCTTCACATCAAGGTACTGCAAAAGATTGCCATTGGGGACAAACTCGTAGATAAGGAAACATTCTCCTCGGCCTTTCGAGCAGCAAAAACCTCTCAGCCTCACTAAGTTCTCATGCTTCAGCAATGTCAGCATCTTCAACCCTTTGAGAAACTCGGACTCATCGGATTTACAGCTCGATTTCGCTATACATTTGATGGCTGCAACAGAACCGTCTCTAAGGATACCTTTATAAACCGAAGAGACGTTACTCTTTCCCAACATATTAACCTCAGAGAAGCTCTGTGTCGCTCTCTCAATCTCCTCGAGGTTGAACATAAAGCTCTCGAAGACTTCTTGAGACAATGCACTGTTGTTGCTGTTCTGTCCTCGGCCCAACGGATCCCAACCGCTCGCGTACTCCAAGCTAATCAATGGGGAAGAGCTTTTTCTTCTGGAAGCTTCTTTGAAGTTGTACTCAGTGGCAGTGCTAATCCTACCGTCCATAGCATCAAGACTGCTTCCAATCTTCTGTTTCCTTCGTCTGTACCATGTGAATGTTGAGCCACCAAAGATTGCGATCGCGAGTATTGATCCGATTAGACCCATGACGATCCCAAAAGATGAAGACTTTGAGGTTTTTGATGAACATCCGCCATTGTTGTTGTTTTTACTGCAGTTGTTTCGTTGTAAATCTGCAGATTCTGGTTTTACGTCATCGGTTGTTCTGAAGTTCTTCGGGTTTGTCGGGTCGGGACGGTTTAGGTTCGGATCGTTAGAACCGGTGCAAGCTTTCAAATCGGTGAAACCATCTCCGCATAAACCGTGATTGTTTGAATACTGGAATCCATTGTTTAGCCTCTTCAAAGCTTCAAAATCCAAAAAAAAAAAAGCAACTAAGCTCAGCAAAACATGTTTAATGGGGATAAAAAATCTGGATTTTCATTAATGTTTTCTTGGTTTGGTTTAGAATCAAAATACAGAACCGATTTGTAAGATTTCCAAACAAATGAAGCTTTTAAGTTTTAATCGATTAATTTGCTTTTATGATTCGGTTCAGGTTACAGATGATTGGTATAATACGGAAGATACTATAACCAAAAAGAATTATTTTATTTTCGATCCGGTTTTGCATTGGTTTTGGTTTGTTTAAACCGGATTGGTCAACGTTTCAGCAATCTGAATATGAATCAAGAAGGAAACAGATATTATTACCGGAAGGAACGAAGCCGGAGAAAGAATTATTGCGAATGTCGAGAACTTCAAGCAACGGAAGTCCAGCTAGTTTCACCGGAACAGGACCAAAGAGATCGTTAAAGCTCAAATCAAGCCTCGTTAACGTAGCAATATCGCCTAAACTCGCCGGAATCGCGCCGGAGAGTTGGTTATACTGTAAAGCCAAGACAGTAATCTTCTTCAGCGAACCTAACTGTGTCGGTATGCTCCCACTTAACTTGTTGTAACATAACTGAAGAACTGCAAGAAAGCAATTAAAAAAATTAAGAATTGATGCAATTTTTTATATTGAACTTTTAACTTTTAAGTGATTTAGTTTTTCTTTTGAAGAGTTTATTAAAAAAAATATTTTTGGGGTTTAGTTTTTGTTGCAAGAATTGGTCTAAAAAACCCAAATACATACATAAGTATTTTTGTTCTGGCATAGAGTTTCCCTGATTTCTAGGAGAAATAAAAATCTTAAAACTTGAATGGTTAATTAAGACAAAAGAGTTTTCTTGCCACTTTTCTAAGAAATTGATTGGGTGATTAAATGAGCTTTTGAAAACTAAAAAACAAAAACCCTTCTAAACTCTGCAGCAGTTCAAGAACTAAACTCTTTTTAGCTAATTTAATAAAACCAAAGCTGACCCACTTTAAGTTCTTCTTGCTGCAATAAATGAAGTATGAATGAATGAGATTAGTTAAAAATACATGCATAAAACGACTGACCTTGAAGGTAGTCTAAGTTTCCGATTTGGGGAGGGATTTCGCCGGAGAGATTGTTGACATTAAGGTATAAATCGGTGAGGAGAGGCAAGTTTGAGATTTCTTTAGGAATCTGACCGGTCAAGGAGTTGAAGTGAAGGTATAAACCGGTTAAGCTAGTGAGAAGACCGATTGAAGGAGGGATAGTTCCGGTGAGACCCATTCCTTGGAGAGAGATGTTAGCAACGCGGTGGTTCCCGTCGCAAGCGACGCCGTCGAATGAGCCGGAGGAGCAAGGGTCGGCGTCGGGAGTCCATGAGGTGAGGAAACGTTTTTCTGGGTCGAGAGATGATTTGATTTCGAGGAGAATGTTGAGCTCTGAGGAGGAAGAGAGTGAAGGAGAAAGGAAGAGGAAGAAGCAGAAGAGGATGAGGGAGAGTGAGAGTGGAGAGGCCATGTTTGGTTGGAGAGAAGAGAGAGAGAGATTGGTGAGGAAGAAAATGACTCTCTTTTGGGTTTGAAAGCAAAATAAAATCCGTCAATGTTTATGTTAATCGTTAAATCTAAAAAAGTTTGTAGACCACAATAAAAAATAAAAAAAAAACAGGTGAATGAAATTATAAAACAAACAGATTAGTTCTTGTAACTAAATAAGCTTCTCTTACTTTTTGTTTTGTGATTTCATAACGAGAAGCTTATTTAGACATGAAGGTGTAAAATAATAAGATGACTTACAGAATTTAAATTCTTCAAGTCCACGATTTCTTTTTTATTTTTTTGTCAACATTTTAGTTTATGGTTTTTTGTACTTTATACGGTAAAGATTCTTTTTAAAGACTTTTCAGAGAAATACAATAATAGTTAGGCGAATCTAGCTTTTATTTTTCAAAATTGAAAATGATACCACTCTCTTTAGATTTAATGGTAAGAAAAGTTGTTTCTTTTTCAGTGCACCAGCTATAATATCGTACTTTGCATATCATTGTTTTAACTTTTCATATATCCATTAAAGTTATTGTTAACATGTTATGATGGTAGCATTAGAATGTATAGTTCAGATTTCATTCAATCAATTTAATATAGTTTTTCGTTTCGGTTTAGAAATTACTTTTTTTTTGTTTCATATTTTGAATGAAAACAGAAAACTATATACCATAGTGATTCGTGAGTAAATACCCTTAGCTATGATACGTACAATAACCTGATAACTCGCTTTATATGTTCACATGAGGAATAAGGTACAAAAAATAAATGGGGTTTCTTGACATTTTCCATTGATTTACTATATTTGATGCAAATAATTGTTATATGAATAAAAACAAGAGTAGCTTATGTTTTATATACATTATAATAATATAAAAAAGATAAAAAGGCATCCAAGAGGCATGGGGCTAAGAGTACATCAAATGGGACAAAGAAAGATGATGGAGGCAAGTCAATAGAAGCAACATGTGAGCATTTTCTACAAAAATAAGTAAAAATTGAAAAAAACATGTGAACTTCTCTTGAGTTAATGTTTTGCTATTTTCTTGATTTGATCGCAGCTAAAGGTAAAATGGACCAGCGCCTCGCTCTACTCTAAGTATAACATGTGAGTTTACAGAAACAAGAAAGACATAAAAGCAAGAGAATAAAGGAAAAGGCTATAGGGCTACTTAAGATAATTCAGTTTCTCTGTAATTGTTATACTGGTGTATAGTGGTGGGTGATGTAATATAATATCTATGTGTATTTGTGGATGGAGAGGAAGTAAAATCATTGAAGTATGAGTGAGAATGAGGATTAGCAATAGTCATTATCCATTATAACTTAATCAGTGCAGCCAGTTAATGATGTAGGAGACTAATCAGCGTTGGCTTATCATTAATCAAAGTCATTTCTTATACAGTATTTGGATAGTCTCGAAGAGAAATGCCACACACGTTATTCAAACCCCAGCCTGTCTCGTTTGGTTTGGATGCATGAGTACGAGTTTTCATATATTGTTTACCAAATAAAAATCTTCAAAAAAATAAAATAAATATAAAACCATTATAATTGTATATGTTGGTACTTGGTAGGCACCGCATTTAACTGAATATATCATCCTTATTTTGTTTTTGAGCAAATCTATGAATTTTGTTTGTTACATATCGTGTCCAAATGTAAGTGGAATTATTAATACCAGTACACATTTATAAATTATGTTTTTTTCGTCTCGTAAATTCAGACGTTGAAAACCGAAACTCATGTGTGTTCGATGTTTTCTTTTATTTATTAGATCTAAAATTGGTCCAACGTTATATATACGCGTGCCGGTTAATCATCAGATGTTATAAAATGCGAATTTTCAAATGCATTATTATGTTAATGTTCCAGTTAACTTAGCTAATCAGCTTCGTCACGTAGTTCATTAATCATTTCACATTTGCGTTCACTCGTTAAGCAATTAATATGTAACTACAGTAAGCAATAACTTTTCTTTATCATGGAGCAGCATTCATAGAAAACCTCCACTACAAAAAGTTCCACAACCTGGAAAAAAAATCAAATTTCAAAATTCAGAAAATTCAAATACAAAAAGTATGATTTGATATATATCTTCTGTCTCACCTAACACGGGAAGACAAAACGAAGTAGTGTCCATGATCGAGCACAAACAGTATGGGAGCGAATGATTACATTTCTATTTAATATAGTTAATATGCGAGGAAGAAAGAGAGTTTAATTTTTTGCATGAAAATACTTAAATCTGTGTATGCGTACATACAATACAAACATCACATGTATCAAACAGATTTCTTGTCAATATATACGATTAACTTTGAGAATATAAATATGAAATCATTTATTCTATCAGTCTCAGCTTTGGCAGATATTTATTTATGTAGTTGACTAGTACTGTATGCCATCCATGTATACAGTTCGTCCTTGTTTCGTAATGATAGATCACAATCTTTCAACCCAATACCATATAGTATAAAGTACTATATATTAAATACGTCACATCGCAAAATTTAACATTTCATTTCTATCTGAGACAGACGTATTACTCGTGTGGCCAAATTCGCAATACTTTTACATTTGATTTTACCGTGTTTATATTTATTTGTGAGAGTTTAGTAGCTGTAGTCATAGATTAAGTCTTGCACACAAAAACAGTCATAGAATAAGTAATTTTTAAACAAAATTAAATCTGATAATTGATGTATGTATATATAGTTCATCATTTTTGTTTGTCAATAAATAAGATCAAAATTTACCCCAAAAATGTTTTTTTTAATATATTGAGTAGGACATAGCATAAAAGAAATAGGGCATAGTTTGTTTGCATCACGGACACCGAGCTTCATTGGAGACCACAATAAACCAGCTAGGTCGAAGACAAGATTGAAGTATAAAGTTTAAAAAGCATGCAATTGTTAATTAGTGATATTAATAATATATTCATTATATTCTAATAAAAAGGTCGAATACTGCTTACAAGAAGAAATCACGTGGCCAAGACAAATGTGCACTTTGATTAATTAACAATAATCTAGTCGACAATACAGATCTTTACAAGTTTTATCTTTTGCTTTCACGGTTCTCAGTTCTCACTCTTATATTCTTCCGTTTCTCTAAACCTTTTATTTCGTTTTGATACAAAAACATTATTTCTTCTACATTAGATATATAATTTCTGACACTGATATAATCAAAGACTAATAATACATTTCAGGTATCGATAATTGCAACTTAAAAGACCAAATCCAACTTTAAGCATATGCATGATCACACTTTTCAGACCAAACTTGCTAAGAAAACGACTTCGTATAGCATGGGCTTTGAAATTCATAGAGAGATGGGCCTTTAGTTTAAAAAGAAGAGGTAACGTGCTTTGTTTTTGATTCGTGGGCTTGTTCTCTCATAGAGGCAATTACAAACTAGACCTAAAAGCCCAATAGTTGAGTTGTTACAAAATGACACGCAGCTCAATTTGCAAATGACAGAAATTAGGGTTTATATATTATTCACTCTCGCGAGGCGCAGCGGAAACGATCTCAGCAGAACAGTGAAGAAGCAGCGTAAACCCTAATCCGTCACCATGGGTCGTATGCACAGCAGAGGGTTCGTCAATTTCTTCTCTTGATCCTATCTGTTCTTCGATTCGTTGGACATTGTTATTGTTTAATGATCCTTTTGGCTTTGAGGGTTTTTGATCTCGTCTTCTTCTCATTTTGTCTTCTGTAGAAAGGGAATCTCAGCATCTGCTTTGCCCTACAAGCGTTCACCCCCGGCTTGGCTCAAGACCACCGCGCAGGATGTAAGACTTCGATTTCGATTTGTGTTTCTGTCGGTTTTGAGATATTAGCTTCATTGGCTTCAGTTCTATTTTCGATTTGAATCCTAGTATTAAGACCAGAGCTTTGGATTTATTATGATTTGTCTAATTGGATTTTTGTTGGAACATTTGCTTTCTCGCTCTGGGATTTTTGTGTGTTAGTCTGGTGTTATCATTATCTTCGGAGGAAAATTATTTTGTGAACTCTTATCTATACCTTTGAAGATTGTTTACTCATTTTAGGTTGTTTTGCTCCATTGTAGTTACTTTGATTGTTTGTTTGAAAAGTAGTGATATAGTTTTATTGGGTCTGATTAAACAGGTTGATGAGTCAATTTGCAAGTTTGCAAAGAAGGGTTTGACTCCATCTCAGATTGGTGTGATTCTTCGTGACTCTCACGGTATCCCTCAGGTGAAGAGTGTTACCGGAAACAAGATCTTGCGAATCCTGAAAGCCCACGGTTTGTGTCTAAGCTTGATCATGTTTGTTATCTATATATGCTGTATAAACATATATAGAGGAGTTCACTTAAAAGACTTTGATTGTATTGTTGTTGTTTGAAAAAAGGTCTTGCTCCTGAGATTCCTGAGGATCTATACCACCTGATCAAGAAGGCAGTTGCTATCCGCAAGCACTTGGAGAGGAACAGGAAAGACAAAGATTCCAAGTTTAGGCTGATTCTTGTGGAGAGCAGGATCCACCGTCTTGCTCGTTATTACAAGAAGACCAAGAAGCTTCCCCCAGTATGGAAGTAGTAAGTACACTATACTCGCTCTGTTTTGATGATATGAAGTAAAGATCCTGACATAACTATTATCTCTTTGTTAAGTAAAAGATTCTGACATTATTCTTGATTGTGCGATTTTGCAGCGAGTCTACTACTGCAAGCACTCTTGTGGCTTAAGAGCATGGGGTTTAAGTGAGAGAGGCTTCAAGAACTTCAACGTTTCTGTTTACCGCTTATCACTGCACTTAGTTTCTCTGTTTCGCATTAGTGTTTTTGTTTTTTGTCAAGCTACTATGAAGTTTTTGATCATTTCAAGGAACAAACGTGTTTAATATATTTTCAGACCTGCTTAAGTTTGTTTTTCTCCCTATTATAGTTCTATTTTCATAGTACCTAAAGGCTTTTTCATCAATTGTTTTGATTCTGCAAAATTGAGTTTCCAGCTCTTCCGGCAATTGAAATTAACAGAATATCAAAAGTTCAAAGAAACTGTCATGATCCATGGACGCGAGATTAAGACATCAAATCCTGTAAATGATCAGGTTTATACGAATTTTGACGAAAACATTGATTTCGTCCACCAAAGAGTTGAACGTAGACAACAAATTAGAAAGGTATTGGTTGGCGATTAGGCCAAGACTCGATCTTTTGGAAGTAATCGACAGGCACAACACCATTAATGCCTTCAGTCAAAATCACCTTGTTGTCTGAAATGTAGAACGCTATTCCATCTGAATGGAGCAAAAGTAAAAATGAAATATTGAATCTTTGGAGAGCTTATCAATACTGTTAGAGAGGTGAATATGATTTCTCGAGCTAAAAGTTAGGTATACCTTCAAGAGCTTTCTTGATGTCGAGGAAGATTAAGACATTAACATTCCTTCTCATGCCTTAACCCCAAATCATGTTCAAAATTTGGAATCAGATAAACGCGCATTACGCAATCATGCAGGAACAACAATAGGATCAAAATCTTACCACTTATCACTTCACCATCTGTTGGCAAGCCACAAGAGAAGTGAACATGGAGCCTATTCATGCGCTTTAATCCCGAGGCTAAGATTGATTCCAAATTCTTCATATAAGTTCCATGTACACATACTGCAATCACAGAAATTAAAATGAATGTGAACAACTAGGCGATACAGAACAGAAACCAGAAGTATGTTGTCCTGTAATACAGCTTTTACCTGGAGCTTCTTCCGGTGACAATATTGGTTTAAGTAACTTTTCCGATTCAACCGTCTGCACACAAAGACAAAAAGGCAGAAGCTTTATAACTTGAAAGCATATTCATCAAAACCGGAAGAGTCAGAATCACTGCAAATAGATGATCAAAAATGGTTTCAAAAGACATGGCAAGCCTCAAATGAAGATTTCTATTACCGTGATCGAGTGGCCTTGATTTGCGCGAATCAAGAGCTCTCCATTGTCCTCTATGAGGCTGAATCGTTGTTTGTTGTCCCTTCTCACTGCCTGCAAAGTTAACAGCACCAGACGAAATCATACCAGGAATCACTGAAATCGAAAAGTGCTCGCTGACAAAATCAACTGAAGATGGACCTCTCTGATTTCATCAACCGTGTGTGACTTCAATGGAACGTTGACAGATGTTTTCAAGTCCAGCAAAAGCAAATCTTCAACTTTAACAAAACCATCACCTCGCATGTTCAAGCTCAGCTCAGTAGCCATGTGCCGCAAGATTCGCGTCCTGATGATAGAGAGATTCAAAATTAAGCTAAACCTCCTCCACGATACTTGATCAAAAAACCCAACAGCTCGAATCAGTAACGATGGCACTTACAAGAGTCTTCCAAGCGCATCGATTCTATCTCTGCCGCCGCCGCCACGCCCATGAGGTCTCCGTCGATCGTTCCCTCTCACATCTCCTCTTCCTCCACCGCCGCTACATCAATCGAAAGGCCAATAATCAAATCGAGACCAAACCTCACCAATAAAAAAGGGATTTTTGACTTGCGAGTAATGTTGTCGGCTCACCTTGTGCTGGACTGAGCCAAGGACGAGAAAATCGGATTTCTGGAAGAACTGAGATTCGAAGCATCCATGAAAGCGTAAACAGGAGGAATTTTGGGAGAGCTGCTCAAGGCTAGAGTTGGAAGACGAAGACGATAGAAGCGGAGAAGGCGAGAAGCTGTGTTATAATAGCAATGCAACATTGAAGAAAGTCCACGACGAGGGAAGAAGTTGCTGATAAATCACCTTAGCCCATTAATTTATAACCGGTTCGTATAAAACCCGATTCAAATCGAACCGGGCTTGAGCTACAAGTCATGATGGTTTTCTTTTCAACTTCTTAAAAGATGATGGTTAAGTTTGATCAAGATGATAGTTAGATGTAGACAAGCTTGTGGGTTCAATTGAATCTGGTAAACATCGAAGATACACCAAAAAGTCGCTTGTGGGTTCGAAGAGGGGTACAGAATCCAAACGCGTGGAGTTTTTGTCGCTTCATGGTTGCTTAAGCAAGTTTATTCTGTCATATATGTATGTGGAGGAATTTCTAACAGCTTAACTAGATTTGACAAATTTGGTTTATTAAAATCAACGTCCATTGGTTCAGGCGGACACGTAATTAAGCTGCGGGTTAGCAAGATTATCAACACAGTACGCAATTTGGCGTCAAACGTAACACAACTATTGATTCTAAATGAACTCTGATTATTACCTTTAAACACTCAAGATTCATACAAAAAATGAAACTATTAATGTATTTAAATATGAAATTTTAGCAAACTGAAATATAAGATTTGATAAATACCTACTAATATAATTTGTTTTCTTTTAATAGTATAATTTTAAGTGAATAACAAGGAATTTGCCAAATCTCCATATATTTTGGAGTACTTAAAACTAATTATCTATGAAACAACTAAATTAATATATTTAGGAATTTATAGTTTTTTAAAACAAATGAGAAACTAAAGCAAAAATAAGCAAAATAAATGAGAAATCAAAGCAAAAATAAAGTAAATATATTTTGAAAATAATACTATAAATAAAAAACCAGTTAAACTAAAAATTCTGAACCTTAAATTAATTGTTGTTAACATAAATTTTAGAAATATGTAATCAAAACTATAATATATAACTAACCAAAAATGTTATTAATAAACATTCAAAACGTGTTTAGATTCCTTTTTGATCAGATTTTATATTTGGTTTCGAATTTTTTCTTTTCAGATTAAAATCTACACTTCAATTTTTTAAAAGCTATAACTATAAAATGAACAACAAAAATCAAATTTGATTTGCTGAAATATGAAGACAGTCATTTGAAGAATTAATATAAAATCATTTACTCTTTACTAAATCTACAGTGTAGTGAAATAAAATTAATAGCTTATGAAATAAAATTTTGAAAATATTTTAGCTTAAAAATTGCGCATGCATGAAGAACTTCAGTCGCTTGGTATTCTTCATATCTCTAAATCGTCTCAAACGACACCCGAGCCCTGAACCGTGAGGGGCCTCAACCATTGAGCTGGTTCTCTTGATTTTGTTTAACGTCATGGCTTGCTCAGCAAGACGGGAAGCCATTGAGAGGAAAGTAAGAAATTCTTTTGTTTTTTTTTTGTTAGAAGGGAGGTTAGAACAAACAAGTGATGGTGAATCCATCTTTTATTGAAATTTTGAAATCTGTGATCTCGGTAGTCTGCGTAAACTAAATGTAGTCTAATCATGAGGAACTTCTAGTAGCTTTGCTGACTGGTGTTCGTGATCCCATGATTGCCAAATGACTATTGGTCAACCACATCGATGATAGGCTACGATAGATTCCGAGTAAGACTTGAGCAATTTTTTAATTTAATTTTTCATATTCTATCTATATTTTACGAAACTATCTTAAGCTTTTTTTTTCTTTATGGGTATGATGTATATAAAACTGAGAAGTATGATTGTTGCCGGTATAGTCAGAATCGAGGTGGAAGATTGAAAAGAGACGAGGAAGACAGATAACTTTATATTAATTCCAATCTTTCTCTCGTTAAAGTCTTTATTACTCTACCTCTCCTTAAACATGATTATCCTACGTATGCAAATAGACAATCACATAGTAACAAATTAACCACACAAAAAAACGTAAATGAAACAAGAGAACTTACTAACAATTCATGCATCAATGCTGTTTAGGTATCATTGCAATGAAATGTTTGGTTTAAGGCAGCCACTTTGCAAGAGAAAGAAAAGACCAAACAGAAGAGTCCATGAAATGCGAGACCATGTGAGACTATAATGAAGATTCCATGATTTAAGAAAAATCCAACAATTTTCTCTCCATCTTTGAATCCATAATTAACAATGCTTAAATATCTCTCTGATAAACTAACTACTATAGAACGTGAATAAGTGGGAATACAATCCCATTAATTTAGGATAAACAAAAACCATATCATAATAAAGAGCCAGAGGGAGTTTGTGTTTGCTGCTTTTTCTGAAAATGTGAAACACTCACTTCTCTTAACTCTTAGGTCCTGGACTGATCAAGCTCCATCTTTTCTTCTCGGATAGCTACGTTTTTGAGGATAGGCTACTCTGTAAAACTTTGACCCACCCTCTGTGGTTCTCCGATGCATGTATCCGAAGCCACCTCTCCCCATGATTCACCATGTGAATTTTGGATGATCCCGTATAGTCTACCATACTATCAAATCCATATCCCACAATCAGCATTTGGTGAAAAGATTCATCCCTTGGTCCAGCCGGTGACCTGTAAATTTGGTTCTGCAAAATTTTGAAGCTATTTGTTCATATGCACGACCTTGATGTTTATACACATGTAAGTAATTATGAAACGTAACTTATAAATCTAAGATTCCTGAAGTTGTTATCAATATTGCGCAGTATCTCAATCACAGACACCATAAACTCATTGTCGTTCACATCAGATGTGTAAACAAAATCATCTACTGTCTCAGTGGATCTACAAAAGAAAATATGATCAAACTTATTATTACCCTTTTTAAAAGTTTAAAACTAGTATAAATATATATAGTTCGAGTAGTTTTGCTGACTGCTGTTCGCAATCCCATGATTGCCATAAGACTATTGGTTAACCACATCAATTATAGGCTATGATAGATTACGAGCAAGACTTGGGCAATTTTTCATATTTTATCTATATTTTAAAGTACAAAACTATCTTAAAGTTTGTATTACTCTACCTCTCCTTAGATATGATTATCCTACGTACATAAATAGATTAAGACCCCTCTTATATTATTATTTAAAAAAAAAATTTTGTTCGAATTTTTTACTTATCTGCTTTCAATCAAATTTACTGGTCCTGTTTAGATAACAGTTACGCTTATAGATTCTTAATATTTTTTTATGGTGCCAGCGAAGGCGAATTATGACTCGACCCATGCATCTTAAGCCACACATCTATACGGGAAGCAATGCCAGTCTAACTAAATAGATGGTCTGAAGCAAAAAAAAAATGTGGCCTATCGACAAATTTTTTAAAAGTTTTATAGTCAATATTTGTAATTTCTTTTACAATTTTTTTGTTAATAATTTTAATTTACAATTTTTTAAAGGAAAATATGGCCTTTAAAACTTAGTGTGTATAAACCTATTATTACTAATCTCACATGTGCTATGGGCCGGGCCTGCGTGGAAGCAGTGATCGCGCTCTGGTAAGCACTACAGTGTCTGTTTCTCAGATAAACAAATGGGACAAACAATATCTTCTACTCTCTCCTAACTCCATTTTCTTATATGATTCTATTGTAAATACTCAAGCACCGTGGGGAGTCTCGTGGCTAACTATAACCCTGTTCTGCTGCTTTCTTTCTTTTTTGGTTTGTGAATCTCTCTCCGATCGATACTCATACAAGTAGCAAAGAAAGAAAAAAAAGTGAAACTTTTAGGGACTTGCCTTGAAATATCTCAAGAATTATCGACTCCAGATGAAAGGAACGAAAACATGTGATAAGGTTAGAAATGTAATTGAATGCAATTTGTCTCATTCTCTCTGTAAGGAAAACAGAGGAGACGAATTGGGTCTTTCTTTATTATGTTTATACAATATGGGTACCTGAAATACGGCCCAAATACAAAATACTTTGTGCGGCCCAGATAATCGTATGTTTTTTGTGCGACAAAATACCGAGCATTCTCTCCTCATGTCCAAGGTATGGTTCCAGGCAGCCCCGGCTCTGAGGTATGGCGGGAGGGGCAATAGCTATGGGTCCAAAAATTTAAAGGCCCAATTTTTTTTTTTTTTTTTTTTTTATATATTGAAAACTTTGTTATAATGTGTTCACATGAAAAAAAATAGAATTAATATATAGTACATAATAAGGCCCATGATCCATTTAATAAAAAAAAGGATTATGATCTAAAAAAAATTATACCTATAATTTAAGGACCCAATTTTTTAAATATATTATAAAATTTGTTAAAAATATATTCTTAAAGACAGTTATGAATATATAATTAATTTTTAGTACATAAAAAAGCTCATCATTTATTCAATTATTAATAACGTCATAACCTACTTATACAAAAAGAATTATACCTTAATTGTTTCATTTGTTAACAAGACAAACAACCATCTCAATTATTTAAAATTACAAAGAATTTCAAGATCAGATCAATGTTTCAACAAATGTTGAATGGTCTTGTACTTTTATGCATTGAAAAGAAAGTTTTAAAATCTATAAATTTTGAAACAATTATCAATAATTTTAGATCAATAAAGTTAGGAAAAAAATATATACATGATTTTTCATTTTTCTAAAAAGAATTAATATTCTTTTGTAATTTTTTATGTTTGATGATTTTTTATGTGATTTACAGAAATAATGCACTTGAATGAAGTACTATGTCAAAAAAATATTATACAAACTAGTTATGTATATATATATTTTTTTAACAAACTAGCAACTTATTTTATATTATAAAAATCAAAAAATTATAGTTTGATTTATTTTGATTAATACAATTATTTTTTATTAATATAATATAAAATGTCCATATTTTGTATTTCGCTTAAGGCTCTTGAAATTGCTAAGACGGGGCTGGTTCCAGGTCAAAGATTTGAATAAATTACTTCGGATGAACAAGTTCTCGTCTCTCTGTAAATTTAAATTCAGTCTTCTGACTTGATTCGAATGGTTTCCATCACCAGCAAATCCGTTTCACCATCGTGAGCCGATTCAAAGAGAGAAAGCGCTGAAATTTCTTCAATCGACACACATGATCTGTTACTGTACTAGTTCTGGATCTTTAACAAATTGTTTGATTGCTTTCTCCTTCTTTGCACAAACTCTTATGAGCATACCACCAACATTTTTGGATGACTCGCATTCTTTTTAGCCATACTGCCTCTCACGATTTGAGAATCTACTCGCAATCACAAGAGATTCAATGAAAAAAATACGAGGACTTTAGGTTTAAAATCGGGTTTGGGGGAAGAATCTCGGGGGGTTTTCAGGAGAGTGAAAATATGAAAATCAAGACCTCACACACATTAACGCCCATAAACGTCTTGTATGGACAATACTTTTCTTTTTGGGATGTCCTAATTCCTAAAGACGAACAAAAGAGAGGGGTTCAGGTTAAAAAAAAAGGGACCATATGATATAGTTAGGAATGTAACTGAATGCAATTTGTCTCATTCTCTCTGCATGGAAAACAGATGAGACGAAGTGTAGAGGAAGTGAGAGTTTATTCTTTAAAAGGACGAGAGGAGAGGACCGAGAGGTGATACATTTATCTACAGACTACTATACAAAGGTACACAAAGTTTCTAAATTTCTTACTAAGAACATGGGTTTCATCCCAAAGTTTTAACCTTTATCATCAAAGATTCCACTTTTTTTCTTCTCCATAATACATCTCTGTTTGATTTTTTCTTTTTATTACGAATCTGAAGATTATAACATTCAAAAGATTAATACTTTGCTTTAAGTTTAGTAAAGTCTTCCCACTTTTTTTTGAACTAAATGTGTACGAGGAACTCTAGTTGGCTTTGATCGGATCCAAAAGTTTTAAGCTTTATATCCTCAAAAAGATTCAAGTTTTTTTTTTTTCGTTCATAATACTAGTCCTGATTGATTTGTTTTTTTATTACAGATTTGGAATTTATATAGTTCACAAGATTAGAACTCTGCTTAAATATTGTAAAGTCGCCAACTTTTTTCTGAACTTATGTGAACGCGGATCTCTAGTTGCTCATTTTCTTACTTGGTTTTTTCATCCAAAGTTTTAAGCTTTCTACTCAAAAGATTCAAGTTTTTTTTTTCGTTCTGTTTGATTTGTTTTTTTTTTTTATTACAGGCTTGAAGATTATTAGTTAAAAAGAATAGAACTTTGCTTACCTTTTGTAAAGTATTGAACTATTTTTTTTTAATTGTGTGTTTGTTTTTATTATAAAAAAAAATCTAACGAAGGTCACGTTTTTTTGTAGATTGCAATATGTCATGGCTGTACTTGGCGGAAGGTGCTATTTGTGTCGCTGGACTCATTGCCTACTGCATCAAGGTCCCATGGGGATGTATCTAATAGTAGCTAGTTACTAAAATAGTGGTTTCTCCATCTTTGGATCCTTTTGGTTTGTTTATCACGATAATCTCTTCTAATTTCTTTGTTTATGACTGTCTTTCTTTTGTGTATGTACGTTTTATGATGAATAGACATATCATATGATTAACTTGATATGACCCGTGTATTTACAACAACGCAAATTTTACAACTTGCAGCATATTTACGACAATATACCGGTCATGCCTATACTGGTTAGCAATCACTATATATATGGTGGGTTTGACTTTACGAAGAACCCCACGAATAAGACCTATTAATTAAACCGGCCGGTTCGTAATCCAATTGAAGGGAAAGAAAAAAACCGTAATATACCCCCGAATGAAAAGGAAGCAGCCGAATTGAACTTCTTTCTTCACTGTCTATCGACTTTTGATGGATTCGACTCTGAATCCAAACAAGCATCTCAAAGAACAGTAAAGCTTCTCTCTCTCTCGTCGTCTCGATGATTACAGATTCCCTAATTTGTGTGTGATTCTTCCTTCGTACATGGGTTTTTGTTCGAATTGACTTGGCAGATTTGTAAGCAATCTGGATGGATCTTCTATTTTGGAAATCGCAGCACTCTTGACCATTGTCCCTGTAAGTCTTTTTTTGATCTGTATATTTCTTTGTATGTTCGCTCGATTTCTCAAATGATAAGACTTTGATCATTTCAGCTCTTGGTTCTTCTTCGATACTCCATTGGTTTTCACTGTGGAATCGGTTTGTTTATCTGATCATCTTTCTCTCTTTTCACTGTGACATACAATTCCTGAAACTGTCTGCTTTGCAAGAGCAATCACCATTGAAGTCATCTCCTTAGTGCTTTCTGGATTCAGTGATGCTCTTTCTTCGATTAGTCTAACTTGTTTCATGTTTGTTATAGATAAAAATGACGATTCCATCTTGTCGAAGAAGAACGACGATGAGATTGTTGTTTCCAAAAATTGGAAAGCTTACACTTATTCCATATCCTTAGACTTCATCTTCATTGTCTTCCCCATGCTCTTGTTTTTCACCGTATGTCCCTTAAAAACTTCCTTCTTCTTTTTTTTCGATTTTCTCCTGTGATCACATTCATTTTCTTCTTACTCTGTAACGTTGCATTGTGATAACCAAAACTGATTAATGATTTCTATTATTATAGGTTCTATCAGAATGGGTTTATCTTGGAACAGTTTTGCTATCGCTGTTGTTACTGGTCCTTTCTGTGACTGCCAAAAGGTATAAACTTTCATGTATCTTCCCTTTTATCTTCAAAACATTCCTGAAGCTAAAAAATATGATTCCAGATCTTCTTCAGGGTTGCAGAGAGGACAGTCTCTCTCCTTTAGAGCAAATGTATCTTCTTATAGAGTTGCTCTGGTACACAACACTACTACTTTTGTTTTTGATTTAAAATCCACTCTGCTTTTTATCTTCCATTTACACTCTCAACGATTTCCTCGTTGTTGCAGATGCTAATCACATGCTTGTGTATCCTGGCTGTTGACTTCACCATATTTCCAAGGAGGTACGCCAAGACAGAGACTTACGGTACTAGCTTGGTATGTTTTTGGAATGTTGAATCACATACTGTGTCTTCTTCTTTAGTCCCCTGAGGCTCTAAACTAATTTTGTGACTAGTAACTCTTTATTACAACTTGAAATGAAAACAGATGGATCTTGGGGTTGGCTCTTTTGTGTTGGCTAATGCTATAGTCTCTAGGCAAGCCAGGGACGTTTCATCGGGGTGGGTGGATTCTCCTCCTTCGCACTCAATTCTCCGCTTTGTTAGTGGTTCAGCATTTTGTAAACTTGGTCAATTTTTTTTTTTTTTTTTTGACTTGCATTGCTTCAGAAACTGGATTACTGGACTTAAGGCAACTGCTCCTCTTTTATTACTCGGGTTTATTCGTTTAGTCACCACTTCGGGTGTGGATTATCAGGTAAATAAAATCTCCGCAAATTTCTCTTTATTATGCTTTCAATGATTATACAGAGTCTAACCATTGTTGTTCTTAACTGTATATGAAGGTCCACGTTACGGAATATGGACAACACTGGAATTTCTTTTTCACACTCGCAGCCATATCAATTCTCACATCATTTGTTAACATACCAGCAAAGTACTGTGGAGTCCTAGGTTTCGCTATTCTTGCAGGTATATTCCAGTTTTTACTTTATTTCCTCTCTTTACTTTAATTACAAGATAATGAAGCCTAACTGTATCTTCAACCTCCTTTGTGCTCAGGGTACCAAACTTGGTTGGTTAGTGGACTGAACACATATCTACTTTCCGACGAAAGAGGAGTTAACATTATCAGCAAGAACAAGGAAGGAGTATATAGCACTCTTGGTAAAGTTTTGTTTTGGTTGATTGATTTACTTACTACCCTCTTTTGATATTGTGGTAGCTAACTCTCTTTTGATTTAGGTTATTGGAGCATGTACCTTCTCGGCGTTCACTTAGGCTATCGTCTCTTTTACGCAAAACATTCGAATACTCGAAGCACCACGAGCTCAATCGCTAGAGTCTTTCTCGTTTCTCTTCTATTATGGTAAAAGCAAGCGGTTATAGAACACGCTTTCTCATTATGATATAGTATCACTCATGAGCATATATGTATGTATCTCTCAGGATTGTGACTATATTTGTTGACAACTATGTCGAGAGGATTTCCCGTCGAACGGTAATGATACTCACTTAGAAGCTCAAAAGCATTTTAAAGGGACAATATTGGTTGAAAAACGTTTTTATCTTGTGCAGTGCAACATGCCTTATGTTACTTGGGTGCTCGCTCAAGATCTTCAGGTATTGTAAATTATAATGGTGAAGACTTTGTCTTTGAGATAAGAGGTATGAGATTTTGTTCTGTTTCGTTTTTGTTTCAGGCGCTGGGTATATTTATGCTTTCGAGTTATATACCTATGAACAAACTATCATCCCTCGAAGAAGCAATTGACCAGAATCTTTTAGCTACATTTCTTCTTGTAAGTCTCTTATCAATCGATTTCTCCACAATGTTTACAGAATCTTTCATTCTATGTGGACTCATTTCAAATTTTTACCATTTTTTTTCTTTCAGGCAAACGTTTTTACAGGAATGGTGAACCTCGCCGTGGATACCATATTTGCTTCGCCACTATCTTCCCTTGTGATATTAACCGGTTATGCCTTTGCTTTGTCTGCGATTATCGGAACCATTCATTTCTCCGGTTTCCGGTTAAAGTTCTGGTAAATAGCACAACATCTTTGTAAACTCTTAACGGTTCTGTTAGTGACATGTAATTGTTATCTGCGTGTGTCGCATTCGCATATGAAGAGAAGCTCTAAACACAGTATTTTGCAAGTCTGACATTCTTCTATATGGAAACTTTTACCATATCTGATGGGTTCTTTCAACGGCACACTGTTCTTTACCATTGCAAATAAACGTCACGTAGTTTGGACCTGAAATCGTATAGCTTGTTACAATCATTCGACGTAAACCACTACATCGATAAATCATAAGAAGGCCCAACAATATCAAACTTCAGCCCACATACCACTTTAGCTTTGATTCAATCCTCTCCGCCGATCCCAAATTGATTTCGTTGATCGGAAATTTGTATATTACCATCAATGGTTTCCCGGAGAGATTATCGGAGCTTAAGATCTTGTAGCGGATGGCGTCGGTTTCTACTGCTTGTTCCTGTGCTCTTCGTTCTTCCTCACCTCTCGTCATTTGTTGATTTCTCTTCGACTTCGGCTAGGAACGAAGCGCAGAGCATCCGTAGCAAGAAATTAGATCACCTCGTGCTCGGTCCTGCGGCTGGAGTAGGCTTTCCGGATAGATTGCATTGCCGAGGTTAGATTTGCTTATAGTCTTAGGTTTTGCTACTACTTCGCCGATCAGCACTTTTGTTTTTCACTGTCGTTCGATTTGAATCACAATCTTCGATTTGTGTTTGAGAAGATGATATGAGCAATTTTGTCCGGAACTTAGTATATAACTTTGGGCCAGAAGTCTCAGGATTGCTTTCATTTTGCTAGTAATCTACGATTTGTGTTTGTGAAGATGATATGAGCAATTTTGTCCTGAACTTAGTATATAACTTTGGGCCAGAAGTCTCAGGATTGCTTTCATTTTGCTAGTAATCTACGATTTGTGTTTGAGAAGATGATATGAGCAATTTTTTCCTGAACTTAGTATAACCTTTGGCCAGAACACAAATCCTCGTCTCTCGGAGTTGCTTTCATTTTGCTATGAATAACTCAGATTCTAGGAACTGCAACTTGATGCAACTGTGGAATCGTATGTTGGTGTGTGATTGTGTGTTTTACATTGTCATGTTTGTTTTAGGCACCAAGGCTCTGAACAAGACTCACACTACAGCTTCTCAAGTGCCTGGTGCTGGAAATGGTGTTTCTTTTGTCACAGTGTTTACTGTCTACAATACACCCCTCGATAATCTGAAATCCTCCAATATGGTTTCTGTTGTTGGGAACGATACCTACACCAAGCCAGAGAGGTCAATGGCAGTTCTAAACGCATTCACCAACTTCATTCAGGTAACTTGCTGACTTCTCCTCCATATTTATGGTGTTTCATCTTAGCTACTGCTTCTTCTGCTATCTAAGAGGCTGATATTTATTTGTGTGTAGGTGAGTATGCCCAAGAGCAACGTTGTCATATTGACTGATCCAGCTTCTCGTCTCCTCATTCAAGCAAGCAACGTGATGGTACAGCCTATTCCGGGTGATTATTCACGGGGTAACCTGATGCTTCAAAGAATCAGGTCTTACATTGTAAGAGCAAAATCACACTAGTACGTTAGGTAGAAATACATATGTTGCTTTTGCTTAATTATCTATCTATCCATTTCTTATAAGATCCCACCTCATTTTCTTTCTTTGTTTTTCAATTGTATCTGCAGACCTTTCTAGAGATGAAGCTGGAGAAGAATGATGGTGGGATAAACCACTATATCTTCACTGATTCTGATATAGCTGTGGTTGATAACATCGAGAGTATATTTGACACGCATCCAAACTTCCATATGGCTCTCACATTCAGGAACAATAAAGATCAACCGCTGAATTCAGGATTTATAGCAGTGAGAGGCACACGTGAAGGGATCCTAAGGTTCGGAATAATCTCTTTCCTCTCCTCATTTGTCTCTTTTGGAGTCAGTATCTGAACCTTGTATGCTAATTCAGTATTGATGACTTTGTCTTACATGGGATCCCAAAATGCAGGGCTAAAGTTTTTCTTGAGGAAGTTCTAAAAGCTTACAAAACCAAGTATATGAAGGCTTCGCGTATGCTTGGTGATCAACTAGCTTTGGTGTGGGTTGTAAAATCTCAACCTTCATTTGAAGCAAAGAGATTTACAAAGCCACAAGCTTTCACACAAGAGATAGCTGGAGCTTCGGTGCTGTTTTTACCATGTGCTTTATACAACTGGACTCCTCCTGAAGGTGCTGGTCAGTTTCATGGCATGCCATTAGATGTCAAGGTACTACTCTCAATGCCCTGAAACCCTAAACCCATCACAAAATCTATTCATCATATTCTGAGTTCTAACTACTTTTTAAATACAAACGCAGATTGTTCACTTCAAAGGATCAAGGAAACGCTTAATGCTAGAGGCATGGAACTTCTACAAATCTACTTCCAACATTCCAGATATGTTGTGTCTTGTTCTAGGTAGTGGAAGAACTAAATACGATTTCTAAACTGAGAAAAAAAATGGTGGAACCAATTTGTTTATGTTGACGATAACGACTTGTTCTGTGTTACATTTCTTGAATATCTCTTGTAATTTTTTTATTCGACCTTAGGAGATCAACCAAATTCACTACTCGAGACGTGAAATAAATAAATTAAATAAAATACCGATGGGTCTGTTCACTCTGTTACAATCCTCAAATTTACTCAAACAAACAAGAATTAAAAGATCATCGATCAAAAACAATCATCTAGCGGCGGCTTTCTTCTCGCCGGAGTAATAACTCAGATACCATCTCACGAACTTCTTCAATCCCGTCTGCAAATCCGTCGTCGGTTTATACCCAAGCTCGCGTTGAGCTAAGCTGATATTAGCGTGAGTGTACGGAACGTCGCCGTTTCGTGGCATCTTGATCACATTCCTCTTCGCCTTCACTTTCAAGTGCCTCTCCAGTATACTCACCAGATCGGAAACCGGCACCGGCGATGTGTTCCCGAGGTTAAACACTCTCAGTTGCGCCGGCCCTCTCTTCTTCCCTCCGGTTCCTGTACTCTTCTCCGCCGTATCAAGCGCCGCTAAACATCCCTTCACGATATCGTCGATGTAAGTGAAATCCCTGGCCACCGTGCCGTGGTTCGCCGATTCGAAAACCGATATCGATTTCCCTTTCAGAATATCCTTTGTGAAGAAGAAATACGCCATGTCTGGTCTTCCCCAAGGTCCGTACACGGTGAAAAACCTTAGCCCCGTGAGGGACAACCCGTAGATGTGGTTGTACGTGTGCGCGATTTCTTCGCCGGCTTTTTTAGTCGCGGCGTATAAACTCGCCGGTTGATCTGTTTTGTCTTTCTCGGAAAACGGGACTTTCGTGTTGAGTCCATAGACGGAGCTAGACGAAGCCCAGACGATTGCAGGTTGCGGATTAGCCGATTTGCAGATCTCGAGGAGATTGACTAATCCGGCGATGTTGCTGTGAATATACGAGCTGGGATTTTCCATTGCGTACCGTACTCCGGCTTGAGCCGCCAAATGCATAACGTGAGTGAAGGAGACGATCTTGAAGAGCTTACGGAGCAATTCGACGTCGTTTATGTCTCCTTCTACGATGAAGACCCCGCTTCTCTCTAGTAATGCCTGTCTCGCTCGTTTCAGGGATGGGTCGTAGTAATCGTTGAAGTTGTCGAGGCCGATAACGCCGTCGCCTCGGCGTTTCAAAGCGGAGGAGACGTGTGTCCCGACGAAACCGGCTGCTCCGGTGACTAAGACGGTGATTCCGTTGTTTGAGCTCCGGATTCGAGCGGAGGCTCGGAGGCGTTTTTCCCAAGCGGGTCCTCCGTAGCTGTAGGTTCGTAGCGAGCGGCGAGATGGATCGGATTGCGAGGGATTAACGGACGGCGGAGATCGGAGGAAGAGTATGGAGATGAGGCAGAGGAGGAAGAAGGAGAAAAATGCGAATTTGGTGAGAGACGATTGAAATCTGAGACGATGGAAGTAAGAAGACTTCTCCATCTTGAATTTGCCTGGGCTTGAAGGTATGTCGTCAAGACGCGACATTTTGTGATGAAAGTGAAAGGAAAATGGTGGTTTCTGGGTTTTCCTTTAAACACCTTTCTTCTTCTCTCTTACTTTTCCTTTTTAGTTTTTATGGCAGCTTCTTAGAATCTTCAGGTTTCTTGTAGGGGTTAAATTAAAGAAACTTTCTTTATTATGACTCCACAATGAGAAACACGGATATTACCGTTTACTAATTTATAATCGAGGATCAAAGTTTGGTTACAGGGTGTGATAAAGAGAGTGTGACTTATGAATTAGAAAGAACATGGGGATTGAAGATTTAGAGATCCAAATCTTAGAAAAGAATAAGAAAGAGAGTCAAAAACAGGTAATTTGATCTGTTTGACTTTAATTAAAAATTAATAATAGAAACAGTGAGTTTTTTTTTTCTTTTTTGTAAATCGTTGATTAAACAAGAAAACTTTTTGACTGTAAAAGTTTTTGACTTTTCAAAATAAAATATTTTTCGTTGTCATGTATTGGAACGAGTTGATTGGTGAAAATAATACTCCCAAGATTTTCGGGAAACCTCTCATCCCAAAGTCTTTTGAATTTGAACCAAAGTTAATTTCCTTTTAATAAATTTGTTTAGTGGATTGGTGCTAAATGAGACTGGACCCTCCTATATTTGAACAACGATTGTTGATGACCCTAAATTCTATGTTTATACATTTTTTTTCTTGAATGGTAAAATGAGAGATATTTTGGGGGCCCTTCAATTTTTGTTAGTGATTTGCTCTAAATAATTACTATACATTCCAAGAAATCGAGCATAACAATTCTCTAAATATGGCATTTTTCTACAAGCCTAATACAAAACTCCCATGTATAGTAATGTAGGGTTGAAATCATGGTTTAGTCTTTATTTTTTTTAAATGTGTAAACAAAAAAAAGGTTGTTGGAATCACAAGATGTTGTCTTTTTAAAATTACAAAAGGGCAAATAAAAGGCACAAGTGAATAGAAGCCATAATGGCACTCAAAGACCCCATGTGAAGATTTGATTGCATAAGACAAGAACATGTCCTCTCGTTTCCCTTTATGAATTGGCATAACATGTCCCCATGCCTTTGTCACTCCTTCAGATGTATCTTACTCTGAAATCCACTCTTTTGTCTCCATATTCACAAACACAAGAGTGATTAACCCTTTTAGCTACTGATGCTTCAAGCTCTTCAATTTCTGAAAAAACTTTGTAAAAAGCACAATCCACACAAGAAGAAGGACAAGAATTTGTGACAACGATCACCATTCAGATTCTTTTTATTTAGAAGAATATATTTGGGTTAAATTCAAATTTTATTTAGAAGAGTGTATTTAATACTCTATTTCTTTGAATCCCTAAAAAAGAGAAGAGGGAAACTAATTTTAATATAATTCCTGCCATACACATCACTTTTGTATATGATTAATTAATTAAATATTTGGTTGAAAAATGATTACATCTATTTTTATTAGATAAATGAAGAAAGAGATTTCTTAGACCTCTGTTACATCATCTTGACTCGCTTGCTGCTCGAGGAGGAGTTTCTTAGACCTCTACTAGTTACAGTGTATGAAGCGGAAGCAGAAGGAAGTGAAGGGGATTTATCGATATAAGCGTAACGCTCATCACCGTTCCAATACAGAATCACTCTGTTGGTACACGAATGAGACCAGCTATCCCCTGAAACATCAGAATTTGAACGTTAAGCATCATAACTAAGGAACCATGAAGATGAAGATGATGATAGCAAGATTAGCAGATGGGAATGGTAGATTTGAGGTTGGTCACCTAACGCAAGAGCTAACTGAAACGAGCCTTGGGTGTACTTTGTGGTCACCTGGTTTAACAACACAACCTGAGAGATTGGAGTGAAAGAGCATGCCTAAGATTGGAGTAAGACCGGCTTTTAAGTGAGGGAAGTTCTGTGAGTTAGATAAATGCTTACAGCAAGTGAGAACTTTTTGGCAAGCTTCATAAACTTTAAAGCCATCTCGCTGAGCACTCGTGTCCTCTGGGCTAAGTCATCAAAGTCCTGACGGAAATGAAACGTGATACTGTCTACGATTACCACTTTAACCTGCAACCACAAGAAGATAAAAGAGCATTTGATTAGTAATTGTCGAATTGTGTCTCAATATCCCTGTAGCAGCGAGATCAATGAATGGAACACTTAAAGAGTCTTATTATGTACCTACATCGTTATTTTCAGAGATGAACTTGTCAAGATGATTGACCAATGCAACCTGCTCGGTGTAACTACAGACGCGGAAGTAGAATATGTTCTCTAAGATATCTTTGGGTTTCATCTGCACTTGACTAGCTTTAAAATGTTTATGCATGTATCCTGTGTATTCTTCCATGTCCTCCACACAAGCTTCTGCGATCTGTAAAGCACGCTCCACCATGAAGCTACCTTCTGTATCTGTACAGATACAAAACTCAAGAAGTGATCAAGAAACCAACAAGTGATGTACCAAAGCCATTCGTCATCAATGCTAGAGAAACACATACACACCGATGTAAATCGCTTTCCCTCCAAGACCACCAAACTCACGAGGAATCTGAACATTCACAGAGAGCTGGATCCTGAAATCAAAAACTGATGTCAAACCGAAGAGCAAAAAGCCCGAGCTAGAAAGTAGAAGAATGAAGCGGAATTTACCCAATCTGAGTCTTGCCAATACCAGGAACTCCACCTGGAGAGTATAAGCAGAGATTAAAGCACTTGTTGCTCCCAAATCAATGGACCAGATCAAAGAAAGCAAAGAGAAAGCGAAGATGACTTACCAATCTCTGTAACATCCCTACAGCTTATTCCACCGCCCAAGATGTTATCAAGATCAGAGCAAGATGTAGTAATCCGCGGCAAAGATTCCTCCTCGTGAAGCATTTCCCAAGCATTCTTAGCTCCTTGTTTTAGGGGCAAAAGAGAATCCTTTCAATGAACCAAATAAGAAGAAGAAAACCCAACAGAGAGCTCCAAGGAGTTCATCAAGCTACCATTTATGAGACAAGTGCTTCCATTGCCAGACATTTGATTTGCCAGCTTTAATATGTCAAATGCTTCCGCCTCTGAGATATTCACATCTGCTCACGAAACACACAGAGAGAGGATTATACAAGAAATAGACCTTTCCCATTGTACACGATTCGAAGAACTCTTTGAAATTCCAATGTGAACCCCAAAAAAAAACTCGATACTATTCAACAGATTACAATCTCCGGTGTAAGATTAGGGTAAAGAAGAAATTCACCTCGAGCGAGATCAGTGGAAGATAGGGAAGAAATCGAAGAAAGAGAAGTATAACCGGCCGATATCAGCTTTCCCCTAATCGAAGACGATAACGGCAGCCTCGATGTCTCCATGATGAGTGTAGTATTCTCGCGAGTGAATAATATTCTTCAATCGCCGGCGATCCTCGCCGCCCAAAGTGAGTGTTGGCGCCATTAATAAGTAAAAATGAAACCGGACTCGGTTTATACAAACCGTTTACGAAGATAAACCCTTGGTTTAATGAAATTGATTTAATAATTAACCGGAAGATAAACCCTTGGTTTAAATGAAATTGATTTATCACACTCACACTCTCCATCTGATCGGAGATGGAGGCATCGACGGAGATTTTCGACATTATAGCAGAGAATCCGAAGCAATTCTCGGAGAAATTGGCTCGGATATGCGGCCGTTGTCCGCAAACGGAATGCTACTCGCCGAATCCAGAACCCAGAATGGTTTCTCGGAGTCATCTCTACGCGGTTTAGGTCGTTTCTCGGATCATCTCCAAGAACCCAGAATCGATTGACAATCGTGCGAATTCCGTCGATGATTTGCTCAGCGTTGTGCCTGCGTCGCTTCGCCGTTCGTTCTGAGCCGCATTCGTTCCCTTTCTCTGCATTCTATTGTGATTTCTGGAGTTACCTTTCTTGCGCGGCGGATCTATCGCCGGAATTCGACACGGATCTATTTCTAAGGCTTTCTTAGTCGCGCCTTCTCAGATTTTCCCTTGGATTCTGCAGTCTGATGGGGATAAATTGATAACAATGCTGCTGGATCAGTTTGTTGTGAACTCTGAGACTTGTATTTAGACAGCAAGTGGTTTCTCTTGAGGAAGAATCCATCGAGAGCTTGGAGAACCATCAAGTGAGATTTCTTGGTGAAGCAATCGTTGGTTGGTAATCCCTTTTACTGTAATGTTTTCGCATGTTCTCATGAGGGTTGGTATGATGGTGTTTACTTTGCGGATCTTGAGTGGAGTATGGATTTTTCTTGCAAGAGATGATGGTTTTTATGTTCCTGCTTTCTGTTTTGCAGTCAAGAAAGCTGAGACTGGAATGAACAAGGCCCAGTTCTGGAAACTAGAGTCGATGCCAAACTGTCTGTTTATCAGGCTGCAGCGAAAATGAAAATCGATGGAAGAACTTCAAAGATGATGAGACGTACTCCAAGCCGAGGAGAAATGCTCTCTTTGTTGAGCCTTCGCCGTTTTCGTAAGTCCTGTGTTATTTGTGCTTCATCTCTTTTACAGAGTGTCTTGAAATTATAATCGTGTTTGGTTATCTTACGATCCTTTCTTTGTTGACTTTCCTGTGATGTATTTTTCAGTGATCATTAATTTATAAATATGACTCCTTTTCAGTAGTACTGGATTTGAGACTTTTACCAATTATAGAATCCGGGTTTTTTAGCTCAAAGTTTTCTGATTTTGATGCGAGACGAATTGGGCTGAGAATATCCTCGGGGACCACTGGATCAGGATTTGTTTTGTATCTTTCTCATGTGCATCTATGTCTGAAATATGTTAATCATAAGCTTTCTTAACATCTGGATGCCGTTTAATTAAAAGTAATCACAGTTATGTCTCCGGATACAAAAACAGGTTCCAGAATTTCATTAGGTATCTGCGTGAAATGGGAGACGAGGTTCGTTCTTTTCTGGTGAAGTATCTTATTCTTTGATTGAAGTATGGTTTCAGTGAACTGATACCTCTGTAACTGTTGTCAGCATCAGAACTACCTGAAAGAGAGAAAACTTCACCTTTTACTTTCTAACCTGATTAAACTTTTCTGCTTTACAGGTCATAGTCGTTACGACACATGAAGGTGTTCCCGAAGAGTTTTATGGAGCCAAAGTCATTGGATCAAGATGGTAGCTACGTTTTTGCTAACTTAAAAAACTCTACGGATCTTCGAAGAGAGCAATTCTCCTCGGCTTGGAGTACGAGTCAGGTCCTGGAGACTCTAGCTTTGCTATTAGATGATGCATATGCCTGTTTGACATCTGTGTGGCGGAAAATGCAGGCCTGTGAAGAGCTCTTTAGCAATCTGATTTCTGGAATTGCCAAGATTGCAGTAGCTAGAGGAGGGCAGCCACTTGGTGTGTTGCAGGTAATTTTACTCATACGAGCAACATATTCTACTCTATTGATGGGTACTTTTCATCGCTTCTGATATCATGTCATAAGTTTGGAGAGATTTTATACATCTTTTTGACTTCAAAGTACTGAAACAAGATTCCATATATATATTTTCTCTGTCGCAATCAGGGCTTCAGAGCGTATTTAAGACTAGTTGTGAGATTATTGAATCTGGCTGGGCCAAGGATCGAGCTCTAGTGGACACATTCATTATAGGGTTAGCTTCAGTTATTCGTGAAAGAAATGATGATAAAGAACAGGTAAGTCTAAAAACTTCTCTTAACATGGAGAAAGTCGTTTTTAACTTGCTTTTAATTTGCCTTCCTTATGTTGCATTGTATTACCAACATTCCAATAAGGCTCGTCATTTGGTGTTCAGGCTGATAGAGAAAAGCAAGTGCGTCTGCTTGCTGATCTCAATGAGCTTGCAGTTGATAGATGGGGCCGTGTTAAAGTGGCGGAGGAGCCCACATACATCACCGTGAAGGAAGATAACAATCTTGAGCGTCGAAGCTTGTTGTGTTCCTCCACCAAAGGAAAGCAGAGCGACTCATAGAACCACTTTCTAGTTGGAGAAGCATCAGATTTTGAGTTTTGCTATCAGACAATCATTTCAAGGTAAGTAAAATCTAACAGATCTATGATTCTCGTATATATCCATATATGATCTATGATTGATCAATTGTGATTTTCTTGCAGAATGCTCCTTGTGATCATTGCATGGTTCATTTTGTTGGGTGTGCAGGGAGATGAAGAATCATCTTTCTGATGCAATGAAACTCATGAAGAAAAGATACGTTTCTGTTCTCTTTCTTTTTATTTTATTTTATAATTCATCTGCATTTAAATATATATTAGTTTATAAAATCGATTAAATTTACATTAGTTGTGAAACTAACCGGATATAATATCCAGCTATATGAATTCATTTGGTCGTTAGAGATTATTTATGTTCAATTTGTTTCCACAATTAATGTAGATCAATCGATTTTTTTATTAGGAAAGAACATAATAATAATAATATTAGCAACACTAATTAAAACTTGAATCTAACCCAAACATGGAATCTGTTTTTGTTTTTTTGTATTGTTTCAAGTTTAAAATTTTCTCTACAAAATAAAACTCGGGAAGCCAAAGATGCCGAAAGAACGAAATCCAGAAATAAAGATATGTTTTCTATTCTCCTTATTCTATTTTTTATTCATCCGCACTAAAACCTGAATTAGTTTAAAATTGATTAGATTTACATTAGTTGTTAAATTAATCGGACATGGTATCCAGCCATATGAATTCATTTGGTCATTAGAGATTACTTATGTTCAATTTGTTTCCACAACTAATGCAGATCAATTAATTTTTTATTTAGAAAAAACATAATAATAATAATAATAATAAATGAATAATAATAATAATAAGATTTTAATATTAGTGAAATCTGATGTTTTTTGTATTGTTTCAGGTTAAAACTTTCTCTTAGGAAGCCAAAGATGCCTAAAGAACGAAATTTAGAAAAAAAGATATGTCTTCTATCCCTTTTTTTAATTATTCATTCGCATTAAAATCTGAATTAGTTTAAAATCGATTAAATTTATATTAGTTGTGAAACTAACCAAACATGATATCCAACCATTTGAATTCATTTGGTCGTTAGAGATTATTTATGTTCAATTTTTTTCTACAACTAACGTAGATCAATCGATTTTCTATTAGGAATTAAAATAACAATAATAATAATATTAACACTAAATAAAACTTGAATCTAACTCATACTTGGAATCTATTGTTGTTTTTTGTATTGTTTCAGGTTAAAGCTTTTTCCACAAACATATCACTAGAAGAAAATGAAATTTATCAGCATTCTTTTAGTATTTTATACTTATCTTATGATGTTTTTATTGATTTTTTTCTAAGTTGTATTTTTTTGCAATTTTTTGTTTTTGTATATTCGAATTCAAACTTTTAATGCAATAATCTAATATTAATTTAACAAATTCGAATTTAAATTCAAATTTTCAATGCAATGTTGTGAGTAGATTTTATCCCTATTTCTCTTTCATTTTTTTTAATTATACTAACTTTGTCTTTATTAGTTGTTTTTATGTGTAAATAGTGATAATGTTAACGCATAAATCGATCTTCTGTGTTTTAGAAAAGAAAAACATGTTAAACTTCAGTCTCGATTAGGATTAAGACCATGTTTGTTTTTCATCTAGATGGTTCATTTGAATGAATCATTTGGATGATTGTAACAAAATTGAAAAATATTTAGATGAATTATTTGGATGATTTTACAGAACTGAAACAAATTTATGATAATCATCTCGATGAACCAAATTGGACCATCTGGATGGATATGATTCAGTGCAAAATAACAAATGACTAAAATATTCTTAAATTTAAAAAACAAATAAGCTAAAAAACCTATCAAATCATATTTTCACAAAAACCAATAAAATCATAAAATCTAGTTTTTTGACAAAATCACAAATTATGTTTTTTTAGCAAAACTTGAAAAATAGGATTTATCCCCCAAATTGGTAAAATCATGTTTTCTGGTAAGATCGAGATTTGTGTTTTTCAGCTGAAACCGAAAAATTGCATGTTTACGACAAAACCAAAAAAATCGCATTTTTCAGATACAACCGAGAAATCGTGTTTTCTAAAAAAAAAAAGTTATATTTTTCCGTCAAAATCAAAGAAAATTATTTTCCTGTCAAAACTGAAAATCACATTTTCGTGCCAAAGCTCAGAAATTTTATTTTTCTATCAAAACAAAAAAAAAATATTTTCCCAACAAAACCAAAGAAATGTCATTTTCCCGCCAAAACCGAGTGTTTTTCGCCAAAACTAAGAAATTGTATTTTCCGGTCAAACCCGAGAAATTTTATTTTTCCAGCAAACTGGGAAATTTTATTTTTCCATCAAATTCAAAAATTTTATTTTTTCATCAAAAACCAAAAAATCACATTTTTCCATCAATTTTCCACCAAATTGAGAAATCGTCTTTTCGACCAAAATCGAGAAAAATCATTTTTCCATCAAAATAAGAGTAAAAACGCATTTTCCACGATTTCTCAGTTTTGGCAGAAAAATGCGATTTTAAGATTTTTATAATTTTATAATTTTTATTTTGACAAGTTTAACAAAAATAGTAATAAATATATGTTTAATTGCTTTCTTTTCTATTATATTAAAAGTTTTTTTTGGTTTTTTGGTTTTTAAGGTACATAAACTGCATTTAAACTCTACTTTTTAGCATTTTAAATATCCAGATTTTAAAAATATACTTATTGGTATAATAATAAATTGAGTGAGAGTGAGGTTATATTGTTTAATGTCGATCAAGAAATAAAATTGTTTTGTCTCTAATATTGAGAGATACTAATTTATAACAATTAATCGATTAAACGCTAAATTTCGGACTAAAGAATATTATTATCAAAATATTAATATGTAGAAGTTATTGCGAATTGTTTATATATTTACAAAGTAGATTAGTCGCTCATCCAACAACTATTGTCCCGGTTTTGATACTGACCTGTCTAACCAGTCTGTTCAATCAAATCAAAACGAAACCGGATAAAGCTTATCATTACTATGCTTGTGTTGTGTCCTTGCATCATTTTGTCCTGGTTTTGATACTGACTGGTCTAACCAGTCTGTTCAATCAGCTTTCCTCTAATCAAAGATGATAACGGCAGCCGTAGCACGAGTGAAGCCGGACACCTTAAGTAAATGAAGCCGGACATAACCGAATACGAAGATAAACCATTGGTTTCATGAAATTGATTTCAAATATCAACCGGAAATGCGTTTGTTGAAAAGGCTACATTGAGATTTTGAGAGACAAAGAAGCTTAATAGATATTGATGGACCTCTGTTTTTTTCTCCTAAGTTTGTGTTTGTTGAAGAAGAGAATCTGCTCGGATGATTGAAGTAAGAGACGGATGAATCCGCGCGGTTCTCAAAGAACGAGCGTCGCTTCTCCCTTGTGCGTACTCCTCTCCAAGAGGCCACCTCGGCCGCAGATCATACTATATTCATAACCCACAACACATCAATCAGAAAGCTTCAATCTTTTCATCTTTCTGTAAACAGTAAGAATCTCCAAAAGGAATATTATATATTTTAAACAACGTACCACGAGATCATCAGGTTCGTTTGCAGGTGGAGGTGGATCGAATCTTCCTACACGAAAATGCTCGAGACCAGTCCAAGCCACCATTACTCCTGGAGAGATTACAGAGTTGTTAATATCTATTCTCTGTATAGATAAATCTTGATCAGCCGAAGAATCTCACACTATATATACCATTGTCTGTGCAAAGGTTAGGAGGAGGGCAAACAAGTTTCAGGTTTTTGTTTTGGGCAATGTCATTGAGTCGAAACCGTACATACTGGTTCGAAGCAACACCACCAGAGACTACCTGAAGATCAGTCAATGTTAGCACGAGAAGCGTATTGCCAAGCACAACAGAGAAGTTTCCTCATTTTAAGCCTCACCATGTGTTTTATAGAAGGCTCTAGTTCTAGTGCCCAGTCTATTGCTCGCTCACACTTTTCCTCCAGATGCAAGACAGCGACTCGCTGGTTCATATAAACCAGACATGTTTAGGAATCAACACAAGAACATGAAACAACCACAGACTGATTTTCTACCTGGAAAGAAGCGGCGATATCAGCACGGTGTCTTCTGTCTTCGTTTGTAGCACAAGAGACGGGACATTTAGCATCGCTGCACATCCAAAAAGACCATTGTTTTCTCATATGTGACATGACTCGGACTAACCGAAGCTGATTTTAAGAACTAACTAACATTTCTTTGGCTTCAATGGCTAGCCTCACTTGTGTCTTCAATCCAGCATAAGAAAAGTTGCAATCTTTATGGTGTTTCATTGGAACCTGATATAACAAGGTAACAACATAACATAAAATGACAATGAGTAGAGTGAGAGAAGAAAAAAGAGTATAACCAACGAGCAAATTGGTTTCACTTACATTGAACTTAACAGAGTTTGCGTCACCCTCCAGAGCAAGTTCTTCAACAGCTGGTCCACCACTTCTTCGCATATCAAGGCCGAGCCATTTTGCTGTCTTGTCAAATGCTTCGCCTATAGCATCATCAACTGTAGTCCCAAGTTGTGTGTACTGACCAAGCTTATGAGCAAGAACCACAAGATTGTGCCCTCCTACACAGAAAATAAAATAAAAAAGCGTTGTTTTTTTTATAGAAACCTAAAGCTCCCCGTTTTTGTTATTTATATATTCTACTGCTAAAAACCATTCAATCAATACCTGATATAAGCAACGCCATGAAAGGAAAACTTAATTCCTGTTCCACTAATCTACGAAGACGAAGGAAAAGCTGAAGAGCAATTCAAAAAACTCAAATTTGGAGCAAAAAGAGCACATAAAGGCAATACCTTGCTACAAGGGCATGAGCCTCCATGTGATGTACCCCGACGATTGGGAGATTAAAACTGGACGCTACTCTTCGAGCCTTCTGCACACCAACTTTTTTTGACACAAAAAGAAACAATTATGTCTTAGTTCTCTTCGGTAACTTACAATTTCAAAGGACACAAGAGTGAAAGGCTCGTTTCTCCAACCTACCACGTAGACAGAGGCCCAAACCAGGTCCAATGGTAACAGCTACAGCAGAGAGATCCTCCCCGGTTAAATTGGCACAATCAAGTGCGTCTTGCACAACCTGAAACCGATGAACACATTTGTGTCAACCGTCAGCACAAAACCATGATGAAAAGTATTGAGTCTTTGCTTGCAAATGCGATGTGATGAGGATTACCTTGTCGATAACCCGGGAGTGTGCTTCTTCAGCCTGTTTAGGAGCGACACCTCCATATTGGGCAAGCAATTCTGCCTTAATGTCGCCACACATTCAGTCAAAAGTGTGAGTCGTTGAGTCTTGTAAGCATCAAATGCACGCCAAAGAACTTAGCAAAACATGACGACTCTTTGTACTGAGAGAGAAAACATAGAAATTGCCAGTGTGAAAGCAGAGGAACGATCTTTACCTGAGAAGAAATGACTTGACTAAGAATTTCACCATTCCCTCTCACCTGAAAACACAAATCAGACCAAAAAAATAGCTGTGAACTAACAAGTTCCATTAAAGAAAACGGGCTTACGATAGCAGCTGCAGTGTCGTCGCAGCTCGTTTCAATGCCCAGAACAACCAAATTATCATCAAATTTGGAAGTTTCGCTTTTAGGTAGTGAGTGAACTCTAGTTCCGGTTGAATAAGAACGTGTTCTCCGAAAATTGAGTGCAGAGGAAGGAGAGATTAGCGAAATAGTCGGGATTTTGGTTTTAAGCTTATAGTTATAGTGCTTTTGTAATCCGAGAGAAGGAGACGCCGCAAGGAAAGAGATTCTGGGGTTGAAATTCAATCGGGAAATCGCCGGAGAAAGTGTAAGAAACCGGCGAACCATCTCACCGACCGATAGAGAGACGTACAGAAAACACAGGCAATGCGGAGAAGATGAAGAGTTACGGGAGAAGTGCCCAAAATCCGGTTTAACCTGAATCTAATCGAAGTTGGAACAATATCAAACCGCCGAATAACATTCGGTTTTCCTTATTAACCGAAATAAATGAAACGAACCGAGGTTCGGTTAGACCACGGGCGAGCAAGATGAAATAGTGAGAGCTTTTACCATTTCGTTTTCTTGCCTTCACTTCTTACAAAAGCATTCCTTTCTCTGTAATTCCTTCACCTCCGGCGAAGGATCCGGCCGAGAGCTTGATGTTTCGTTTTCCTCTACTTATTTGGCGTAAAAGCTGATCAAAAGTTTAGTTGACGCGAAACTTCTTCTGCCTGAGTAGTGAAGAATACACACACGAAAGCAAATCCAAGGTGATCTCTTCTGTCTTCGATCTTTTTCTCTAGATTCAAATGATATTCGGCCAGTTATTTGTCTAAACCCAAACCCAATTTAAGAAATTTTTGAAATTTTAACACTGTAGAAAGATCTTCTAGGGTTTTGGTGTTTTCACATTTTCCATAGTTTCTAAGTCTACAATATCCAGATGCCAGTTTTTTATATCGAAATGATGATTCACTTCGAGATCTGTAAACCCAAAAAGGTCTTAAAATTTTGTAAAAGAAAGATTCGGTGGTGAATACAAAAAGATTTGCTTATGTGAACTAATTCTGTTCTTCTGGTTTTTCACATTGAATCTGCTGCTCAGTAAGTTTGATTCTGGGACAAAAACCTTTTCTTGCAGGAGATATTTGGTGGGTTTTGTCTGAATAAGAGAGATTTGGTGGTATCAAGTATGCTACCAAGTGGGTTGAAAGAAACCCAACTCCGCGAGAGCAACAGCAACCAGAAGGTCCATCCTCAACCAATGGAAGAGTCTATCAATCAGAACCCTGAAGCCATGGAAGCTCTTATCTCCAATCTCTTTGGGAACATCTCTTCTTTGAAATCTGCTTACATTGAGCTTCAATCTGCTCACACTCCTTACGATCCGGAGAAGATTCAGGCGGCGGATAAAGTTGTGATTTCCGAGCTCAAGAACCTCTCGGAGCTGAAGCATTTCTACAGGGAGAACAACCCCAAGCCTGTGTGCGTCTCTCCACAAGACTCTCGTTTAGCTGCAGAGATCCAAGAACAGCAGAGCCTGTTGAAGACTTATGAGGTCATGGTGAAGAAGTTCCAGTCTGAGATTCAGAACAAGGACTCCGAGATCACGCAGATGCTGCAGAAGATCGAAGAAGCAAACCAGAAACGCCTCAAGCTGGAGAAGAATCTTAAGTTAAGGGGAATGTCCACGAACGAATCCTCTGGTGGAGACGGCAATCTGCAGTTTCCTGACTTGACCACTGAACTCTTTATGTCGACCTACGAAGCCGCTGCTAAAGCCGTCCACGATTTCTCCAAGCCGCTGATCAACATGATGAAAGCTGCAGGATGGGATCTTGATTCCGCAGCCAATTCCATTGAGCCCGACGTTGTTTACGCCAAGAGGCCTCACAAGAAGTATGCCTTTGAATCATACATATGCCAGAGGATGTTCAGTGGGTTTCAGCACAAGAGTTTCTCACTAGACTTGGAGAGCGCAACGGGCGATGACACAGAGACCTTCTTCCGCCAGTTTCTTGCTCTCAAGGACATGGATCCACTAGATGCTCTAGGGACAAACCCGGATTCCAATTTTGGTAAATTCTGCAGGAGCAAGTATCTCATCTTGATCCACCCAAAGATGGAAGCTTCTTTCTTTGGGAACCTGGACCAGCGAGACTACGTGACAGGAGGTGGGCACCCGAGGACAGCGTTTTACCAGGCCTTCTTGAAACTCGCAAAGTCGGTATGGATCTTGCACAGGCTTGCCTACTCGTTTGATCCAGCTGCAAAAATCTTCCAAGTGAAAAAGGGGAGTGAGTTCTCTGACTCGTACATGGAAAGTGTTGTGAAGAACATAGTTGCGGATGAAAAAGAAGAGAACCCAAGAGTTGGTCTTATGGTCATGCCTGGCTTTTGGATTGGTGGTAGTGTCATTCAAAGCCGAGTTTATGTTTCAGGTGTGAAGTTCGTTGAATGAATGGGTTTTCTGTGTCCCCTCGAATCTTAATCTTCCCACTTAAATTGTAACTTTTATTTTCCGGCTTGTGTTATAATTATATTTATTGTCCAGAATTCTTCTTCATAAGCAAACAAGATATTATTATCATCTTTTATAGAAGTTTAGAGATTATGCAAGCAGTATAACCTTGATTCTTTGAATTCAGGTTCAGATAAATAGGTTTCTTACACTTCACTCAAAACGAAAAAACAACAACCAACGCATGGTAGCAAGTAGTCAACAAAGTAACAAACGGTCCTCAATAGCAAATCGATGACACTATTATTCCACTATCAAATCCAATGAATCAAAAAGAAAATACAAAAAGAGTAACAAACAGACCAATACAGTTCCACATAAAAGGAGAAAATTGCAGTTTGGAGTAACGATCCAAAAGAGTTTGATAAATCACTTTTTAAGCCAAGGGTATACGTCCGGGGACGAAGGAAGCCTCGCCGTTAAAACCTCCACGCCTGTCTCCGTTACCTGCAAAAATGCACATTCACCTTAGATTACTACCAAAATTGATCCGTTTTAATATAACCTTTTAAGGGTTTTAACAAGTTTTTACCAAGAGGGTATGCTCAAACTGAGCACTGCGTTTCCCATCTGCGGTAACTGCGGTCCATCCATCAGGCCATGTGCGATCCCGCCACGATCCTAACATTGACAATGTCCTTATGGTGTTAACTGGAGAAATATAAACAAGCGAATGCAACAACAATAACAACAACAAAAAACTCACCAGCGTTGATCATTGGCTCGATTGTGAAAGTCTGACCAGCTTTCATTACTCCAACTGCTTTGTTTCCTGATTTTGGGGTTAAGGGTATTTACACTGTAAAGACTAATAAGATAATAGCATACCAGGCACTAAGATCTAAAACAGAGGTTTATGTTCGGCGATCTTGAACCAAGTCACAAAGGATACTCGCGTAGTGTGGAATGTTTGGGGCACAATGGAAGAGATCCCCAATACCGTGACCACAATAGGATCGCACCTGTTTAACCACCACAAGTAAGTTATTCACCTAGGCAAATTTTCTACAAACAGATCCTCTGATGGTTGTAGACACACAAAAAAAAACTAGAATTTACCACTGATAACCCAGACATTGTAGCATGGCGGTTGACTATCTCTCCAATTTCACGAAATCGAACTCCAGGTTTAACTGAATGAGAGAAAGAAAGAAAACCAGAGAAACACTCAACAATCTTTTCTCGAAGTTTAACATAGATAACAGTCAAAACATAATAAGCTTAGGACCTACCAATTGCTATGGCCTTTTCCAAGCACTCGTATGTGCACTTGACTAGTTGACGTGATGCTTCGTCAACATTTCCAACAAAGTATGTCTCATTAAGGTCACCTGCCCATAAATCATTCTGTGAGACAGGATATCTCTATTGAAAACCATTTCACAATAATAATCATTTTTCTTCAGGAGATAACATACCATGGCAACCTTTATAACAAACTGTTACATCCACATTTACTATATCCCCATCTTCTAGTTTCCTGAAGCAGTTAAAGCACAACGAGTCATTAGAATAAAATTTCCTGGGTTTTTTAAGCTATTTTCTCTGAAAGGCTCCAAAAGTTCCAGTCAGTAAGCATACCTCGCATCCGGAATTCCATGACAAATTACTTCATTAACAGATCTGAAAGGGAACATTCAAAAGACACGCTTTAGGAAGCAGAGGAACTGCATGGGAGAGGTAATAATGTAGATGCAAAAGAAGTACCTACGTGCAGCAAGATTTGGGAAAGAAATAGTAGTTGAGGGGTGATGGATATCCTCCTGCCAGAGCATAAGGTTATTCAATATCAGCTACAGTGATGCTGTGATGAACTTGAGCAATTGACTTCCCAAAAGGATAACAAAACCTGAAAAAGTACAAACCTGCTGCGATTGTTGCTTCATGAACCACTCGATCAATCTCATCAGTTGTCACACCAGGGCGAATCACCCTAGCTGCTGCATCCAACACCTCCCTGGCAATCTAATAACAGAAACCATTCAAGTGAGGATCCTTGACAAAAGAGATAGATAATGGAAATGCAGAGCACTGGAATTAAAGCAAAGAAAGAAAGTAACACTAACTTTACAGGTCTCACGCATTCTCTGAATCTGTTCAGGCGTTTTTATCTACAACGCAAGTATAAAACTTTGTTAGCTGTACGTGATAAAAAGATAAGTATCAAATGAAACCAAAAAAAATATCCAGTGATGAGGTACAAGATTTGAGAGATCATAGCTCTGGATTCAGGACAACTTAATGTACAGAACCTAATGTATCAAAGCATCACTAACCTCAACAGAATGTTGAAGCTCACTATTTGGTTCAATTTTGGGAGTCCCCTGGATGTTAAAAATTGGAAGAGAAATTTTGTTAGAAGCAATAGGGCACATAACAGGGAATAATAAGAAACTATCAACTCATTGCTAGACGATCCTCGAGTGATTACTAAGCAGTTCTTAGCTAAATGATTATTCCATTACTGAAATCAAATTGAAACGGGTTCAACAAAATCCAAGTACACAAAGTGGTAGGGAGCTTACATCAATTGCCCAGTCAGGTTTCTCAATCTCAGCAGGCACAATACGCTTGGTAGATATGGGATATTGCTTTAGGGGCCTACACAGCGCAATAAGAAATAAAGAAACCAAAATCAGGAAAAAAGTAACATGAAATGATTCGATAACATGAAATGAAAAACAAAGGGAGCTCTTGGTTACAAACCCAGTCCAATCAAAGTGTGGAAGCTTAGGTGTTCTGGCCTGCCCTTTCTTAACACAGTAGAGCCAGCCTTGAGAGATTAGATCAGAATTCTGATCACCGGGAACAGATTTCGCAAGCTGAGCTTTCACATGTACTGATTTATGCGAGCTCCAAGCTGCTTTGAAACAGTCTTGAGTGCTGTTACCATAAATCATACCAAGAATTAAAACTTTGAAAACGAAGTCTTTATGAAGAAATTTGAAGGATTCGCCAGTCAAAAAGGATGGAGAAACACACCAGAAAGAAGCTCCTTCACGAGGAAGCTTCAAATCCATGCATTTCGGACACCTGCGAGCATAAGGAAGCAGTTTTAAGAAACGCTGACACATGCTTGGCCTAGTCCAATTCGAATCAAGAGTCCCAGAAATGATGAAACTACGGCAAAAGAGGATTTCAATATCAATCAACAACACTTGAATCGAAGTGAGCATCCCCTAAGCTACTTAAGAGCAACAATTATCGAAACCATCCATGAACATCGAATTTCGGAGTTGAATTAACACCAGCTATGCAAGTCAAAATCCAAAGGAAAGAAAGAAATAATAAAAGGATAACGATGAGTAATTACGTACTGAAGAAGCGCTGGCTTCTCGCACCGAGCACACGATAGAGTAGCAATGTTCGATGCATCTGATTCACCAGCCATTCAATCCCTCGATTTTCTCGTCTCTTTAGCTCAAAGCCGGAGGAAGACGAAAGAGAGCCGGAGAGGGAGAGGAAAAATCTAGGGCTTGTCGAAGATTGTGTGAATTAAACATCCTCGAAACGGCGTCGTTAGTTAAATCTTGTCGATTTACCTTTTTACAGTCAAAGTCAACAAGTAATTTAACACGAACGTAAATTACTTTTTTACCCGTAAGCAATCGGTCCAAAAAATAAAGTATACAGTAGTATATGTATTTTCTCATGCATGCGGCTTCTCTGCCTTCGTGAGATTTTTTGCTAACAAACTTACGATGTGTCTTTTTGGTTATATCTCTTAAAAAATTGAAAAATATATTAAAAAAAACAATTATCTTTATTTTATTTTTAATTTTCGGATGTTTTCTGAAAATTGAAACAGATTTCAATTTCGTAAACAAGAATTCAAGTAGAATCAGCATAAGTTAAAAGTACAATGATGATTACTTGAGATTTACGACAACCTATCAAACTTAAAACGGTCGATCCATGTTTCTTCTCTGAATATGTTTAAAAGATATTAGTCTCTTCATGTTGTCGAGCTAAAGTAGTAAAGTGTAATTAGGCCTATTTTGCTACGTAACTGTTGGATCTGGTCCAAACATGAAGAATAGTATTTAATTTTACATTTGATTTACGACTATTCATATCAAAATATACGTAGCAACAGATTCATATATATCTCCTTGCATCAAAAGTTTTCGATTCATCAAAACACTTATATATCACCATATCCAACATCTATAACCGATCAATTTATTTACAAGATTCATTAAATCCGGCCACCACTAACCGGATTATTTACGGAAAGTTCTATTTGTGATTAAGAAACAAATTGTAATTAATTAAGAGGAACAACGACATAATCTGAAATGATTACGATCCAGGACAAAACGAAGACAGCCAAACAAAGTCTTTGCGGGCCTCAAACGGAAACTTAAATTATAAGAAATCAACACCTTATACTAAACTTATTGTGGAAAAACGAATCTTCCATTTTTAAAATTTAGTTGAAATAATAAATTGAACGTCCTTACGATAACGAGGTTTTAACGATCTGAAGTCTATTATTGCTACAGCTGCGTGTGCTTCATTTCTTTTGCGTGAGAATTTCAAAAACTAAATTGCTCATGTACACTTAAATATAATATAACTAATATTAAATATCATGATATAGTATATAATATATAGATTAGATGAACATATACGCGCACTGTAGCATATGCATATTAAATATAGTTGCTGATTGCTTAAAATGTGTCTTAATTAACATCACTTGTCATGCACGAATTAGATCAAAATCAGCTTATAGATCGAATTTTCAAACATTCAGTTCGTTCAGGGGTAAATGCTTCAGTATTATAGATTATTACTGTGTTCCATTTTATCAATCTGAATTTTCTTTTGTCCACCCTAAATCTTTTATAGTTATGCAATAATTTGTCATTGCGAAGGTGAGACTCGAGGGTATATTAATGTGTCCCTGATGCTGTAAAAAAAAGGTGTCCCTGTGGAGGTTAGAACTTAGAAATGTCGTCAAAACTTTCTTTTAAATATTTTGCAAGTATATTTATGATGTAGTTTTGTCAAACTAGTAAATTGTGATAGTACTCAATTTGGTGATTACCTCTTCATATATTGATTCTTAAAAAGAAAAAAAAAACAAATATATCTCTATAGATAATCCATGAAAAGACTAATTAACGTCCAGAGTCAAATCACATCGTTACTTGATCGTCAAATGAGAAAAAAAACAAATTATATAAATGAACTTCGTTACCAATAAAATAATTAGGAACGTTTATTTTTTGGGTCGTGCTTAAAAAGTCAACTTAGACCAGATGATGTTGGTAATCTACCCATAGATTGAGGCATGACTACGTTTTCTGCTAGTTTTTGTAACCTCGTTTCTTCCGTCGACGTTACGTGTAACGCAGGCTTGTTGTTGAACGGCTACGTTTCAAGCATCCAGAGCTTGAATGAAAGTAAACCTTTCAACAAAAGTCTAATTTTTGCACAAAACATTCTGATATTAATCAGAAACAAGAAAGGTCCAATTAAGTGAGCACAAACGAATGGAACAAAAGGGTCTAATAATGTGTAAGATATTTTTTTAAATGTATATATATTTTCTCGTCGCATTAAAATTATTAAAGCATAAACTTTGTTATAGACCTAGAAATCATCTAATTTCGGTGATTAGAGACCTAATTTGCAATGGATTTGGATTGCAGAAATATTTTTTTTTGTTCAGAACTAGTCAGTTTTGTTTCGCAAACTCTTAACTCTGGATCGACTGACATCTTCAGTTGTCATGATGGTACATGGTAACATTTGGATACTACTTATAGGTAGCTGGACTAAATAATATTTATGTTTTCACATAAATTTTATATAAATTATAAGATTAACGTTTGACTCCGACGATGATTGGTGCCTTTCTCATTACTATTTTTTAGGTTTTAGTCTTTTCATTTTTAAACTCATCAAACCTGATTTTAAAAAACGCAAGTTGTATTACGTTAGATAGTTTTCTATTAATTCTCATTCATTATACAAGGTTTTTGACGGACAACGTTCTAGTAGTAGAGACATATATAGCTGCATGTAACCAATTCTTCAACCACTTACTAATCAGATTTTAGATGGATAAGATCATTAATATCTTTTGTTTTATAATATTAGATAACCGACCTACCATCGCTTTAGTCTTATGTCCTCTCAATTTGCTAATTTTACATAGACAAAACATATACTAATTATATAATTAAATACATATATATATATATATATATTTAGTTATCTCGATATATCAATTTGTTTAAGCGCAGTTGAGAAAAGTCATATAAATTTTTTTCCGCCAGACCAAAAATTTTATAAATTCTACCCATTAAAAAATCATTTTAATCAATCTGAACATGAACTTTTAACCCAAGAGTTTATTTAATAAACGAGTAACCTAGCGCGAATAGTTCACTTGATTACCAAGTAAATTGTTTTTGGGAAAGTTGAGTTTTTGGATCAGAATTCGGATCTTTGCTGAGAAAATATAATTCTAATTTTAATGTATTATTAAGAGTTAGTTGGACAGAAAATTGATAGGCCTGAAGTCTACAATTTTCCTTTTTGTTTGAGTTTTAGAAAATACCGTTTCAATAGTTGTTAATCACAAAATGACAATACCAAAACGATGTTTTCATTACTGTTTTTATTTTTCTCTTAGAATTTTAATTATTTCAATATTTTCAACTGTTTACCTTTTCTGCAAAAAAAAAAAAAAAAATTACCAGTTTTTACACCAAAAGATATTTTAGTTAGAAAAGCTTTATGAGAGAAGTTATCCAAAAAACAAAAACAAAAAAGAAGGCTTTATGAGAGAATCTTGTTTGATTATGTACACACGCACAAAAAAAGTTTGCCAAGTTCACAGTACTTATATATCACCGTGAACACGCAATACAGTTGAACATGATCTATTGAAAGAAGTATACGTATCCCTTTTTTATTTTTTTGCCGTTATTTACTTTAAGCTAATAACTTAATTTGCTTTGTTGAAAAAGAATTATACAATTGGCTGTTAGTCGTATACATTGCGCAACGGTAAATGAGTGGTATATATATTTATGAAACAAACCAGCGAAAATATCGAAGTTACGAGACGTCGACGGTTGATTAGTCTTTGTGGATAGCGATAACACTGTCTCTGCCTTGCCTGCATATAATAAAATTGATTATTCTTGTTACAACTACACAAATAAATCAAACTAATTTATATAGGCATGACTTTGAATTTTTATTCTTCTTCTTTTGTTTAAGAGACTTTTGGTATTGGACTTCCCCTAGACGCGTATATGCTAAAAATATTATCAAGTTCAACATTTAAAATTTGATAAACTAATAGCTGGAAAAAATCTATAAAGTAGTACTAATTACGGCTTCTGCTAATTAATAGACCTGTTATTTTCATGCTGTCGTTTTTAACTTAGTCGTTTCTAAATAAGATTTCGTATATAAAGCCGATTGTGGCATTTTCCCCCCTGATTTAAAATAACCGCTTCTCAAATTACAGCTTAATTAATAATGTACACGTCAAAAAAAAGATGCCTGAACAAGAAAATTATTTCAACATAGAGAATATGTGACGGCATGATGTTTACCAATCCATTGGTAGGTACATATATACTTTTTTTTTTGCTTCAACTATTATAAAATGACATATTAATATATTTAAATTATTAATTACAAAGGCATAAGTCACGCACTCTATATAAACACATCGATTCAGGACATCAATCTCATCATCCGATACCTTCAAACACAAACTTCTCGTTTCTCAAAACATTTGGTCTTAAAATGGCTTTTCGAGTTTATATTACTACCTTTGTGTTCTTATGCATTTTCGTGGTATCTACCGTTTCGGGTTACAACTCGAAAGATGTGAAAGCGTGGTGTAGCCAAACCCCAAATCCAAAACCCTGCGAGTATTTCTTAACCCACAACTCAGGCCAAAAACCCATAAAATCTGAATCCGAGTTCCTCAAAATCTCAATGAAACTCGCTTTGGACAGAGCCATCCTCGCCAAAACCCACGCGTCTACGCTAGGACCAAAGTGCGGCGACGCACGCCAAAAAGCTGCTTGGGAAGATTGTCTCAAGCTCTACGACTTCACTGTCTCTAAAATCAACGAGACAATGGACCCAAACGTGAAGTGCTCGAAGACCGATGCGCAAACATGGCTCAGCACAGCTCTAACCAATCTCGACACTTGTCGAGCCGGGTTCTTAGAGCTCGGTGTTACCGATATCGTTCTTCCTTTGATGTCAAACAACGTCTCGAATCTGATATGCAATACGCTCGCCATTAACAAAGTTCCTTTCAATTATACCCCACCCGAGAAAGACGGGTTCCCTTCGTGGGTCAAACCCGGTGACCGGAAGCTTTTGCAGAGCTCCACACCAAAAGATAACGCGGTGGTGGCTAAAGACGGGTCTGGTAATTTCAAGACGATTAAAGAAGCGATTAACGCTGCTTCAGGGAGTGGTAGGTTCGTAATATATGTGAAGCAAGGCGTTTACAGTGAGAATCTTGAGATTCGAAAAAAGAACGTTATGTTGAGAGGAGATGGTAAAGGAAAAACAATTATCACCGGAAGCAGAAGTGTTGGAGGAGGAACGACCACGTTTAATTCAGCTACTGTCGGTACGTATGGTTACAAAAACACACGATTAAATTATTATTTTTATTTAGGTAGCATATGTCTTAGTTTGCGATTTTTTACGTGCATGAATAATACACCATACTATATAACGAATTTGAAAGTGATATTAAGATCTACTCTCCGCGTCTTATAGCTAGGTTGTTGTGTTTTAGTTCTCGTTGGTATCTTTTTCTTACAATAGTAAATTATTTTCTATTTTTTAAAAAAATATATAGTTTTATGGAAAGTATTAGTCATTAGTCAACTCTGTTTTTGTATGCTTCGTTTGATATTTATAAGTATACGCAAACCTCTATTATTACATAGTAATTTACAGTATCATTAGCGTGATATTAAAAACCATATGGATTTGATTGACAAACCACGAAATGGCATAATAATTTACACGAATCGTAAAAATTGATTAAATCCAATAGAATGGCCTCTTATGCTTGATTTAGGTTGTTTCAAAAAATTATTTTCATAAAAGATAAAAAAAGTAAAAAAAAAACAGTTTCATTTCACAAATCTGATTCAAAACTTTACAATTCTCCCATTTCCTACGTAAACTATATTTAAGATGTTGTACAATTTTAATATCATTCCTGCCAAATAACATCATGATGATCTATTAGACTACGTGATGATTTAACAGATGACACCATTAAAAAGTTACTAATTACTTCTTTTCTCAAATAATTACAGCGGCGGTCGGAGACGGGTTTATAGCAACTGGAATAACGTTTAGAAACACGGCGGGTGCAAGCAACGGACAAGCGGTAGCTCTAAGATCCGGGTCGGATCTATCCGTTTTCTATCAGTGTAGTTTTGAAGGTTACCAAGATACACTCTACGTTCATTCCAACCGCCAATTTTACCGTGATTGCGACGTTTATGGAACCGTCGATTTCATCTTCGGAAACGCAGCCGCCGTTCTCCAAAATTGTAACATCTTCGCACGCCGTCCCCGTAGTCGCACCAATACCATCACCGCCCAAGGAAGATCCGACCCGAATCAAAACACGGGTATTATTATCCACAACTCTCGGGTCACTGCTGCTTCGGATCTCCGACCCGTTTTGGGATCCACCAAGACTTATTTGGGTCGCCCCTGGAGACAATATTCAAGGACGGTTTTTATGAAGACTTCTCTCGATAGTCTGATTGATCCACGTGGATGGCTTGAATGGAGTGGTAATTTCGCTTTAAACACTTTGTTTTATGCCGAGTTTCAGAATACGGGTCCAGGTGCTTCAACTTCGGGTCGGGTCACATGGCGTGGGTTTCGGGTCCTTCGTTCTGCCTCAGAGGCTTCCAAGTTTACCGTTGGTAGTTTCATTGCCGGTAGCTCTTGGATTCCATCAAACGTACCGTTTACCTCTGGTCTCTGAAATATAGCTTATTGGTTCAAATATTATATATATGGTTTATGATGCAAAGTTGTATATATACGACGCAATTGATTAGTCTGCTATAAAGAATAAATATTGCTTTTTTACAATGTAAACTTCGGAAATTCTTGTATAATTATAGAGTATAGCTCCATGTAATTCATCTCTGTCCTAAATATGTTGTATTCTGTCTTTCTGAAACAAATTGATCACATAATAAAAAAAATTAAGGAATCTTCATTTTATTTTATTTTATTTTTTGGTCAACAGGAATCTTCATTAAAAAGATATTATATATGAAAAATGTTCAACAGTTAAGAAAAAAAAGAGAAATGGGCTTTAATAAACAGATTCAAATGACGCAGAAGCTATGGACCACAAGATAAGCTCAAGTCAGAAGTAAAAGAGAAAACGTGTGACCACACACATGCGATGATGCACAAGAATGTTCCAAAGAGAGAATTTATATTCATCAATCGATGATTGTGTGTAGGTAGGAGAAGTAATATTTGTTGGCATTTGTTCTGAATAAACATGTTCAGCAATTTTTAGCTATTCAATTTTCCGATAATTATAGAATTTATCAGTGGAAGCTCTCTTAGCTCAATGGTTTAATAATGGTTTATTAATGCTTCTACATCAGGAAGTCTGAATTTCAAATCTCAGCAAGCGCAATTTATTCTTAATTATGTAGATTAATGAAGAATGATGCAAATTAATTAAAGCAAATTTACAAGAGATATTCAGCGTGTTGCAAGTAGAATCGTCAGGTGTAAATCTTCGTATGATATGATGATAGTAAGTGTGGTGCAGGGTGCAAGTAGAACCGTTAGTCGTGAATCTTCATAAAATGGTAGAATTGACCGTTGTAGAATTATCGATGTAAGAGTTCTCATAATTTACAATAGATTAATAAATCAGTGTTAAAAAAAAATAGAATTTATCTCATTCAATTGTCCCGTTAATATGTCCTATGAAAAAGCATTACTGGGCCTGTTATAAGATAGCGGTGGCTGGGCCTAATAATCTTTTTCTTTGCTAATTGGGTTTGGTGTTGATTTGGGCCCAGCCCATTTACATGGGTGTTAAGCCCATTACCAACAATAGCGGTCCCATCGTCGTCGCTGCTTAATTGGTTCTTTCAGTTATAATCAGATCGTTCGCTGTAGCGAGAGAGCTTCGGCATTGGCTCAAGTCGGAGCTGGAGAACTATCCGTGAACGGAGAAGGTTGCTGATCTAAATTAGGCGAAGACAGGAAATGACGGAATCGAGTCTGGATCTGCAGGAATCGGGCTGGGAGGAGCTCCGGAGGGAAGCTCGTAAAATCGAAGGCGATCTCGACGTTAAGCTCTCTTCATACGCTAAGCTCGGCGCCAGGTTTACTCAAGGCGGTTCGTTCTTCTTCGTTTCCGCTTGATCATGCTCTGTGTGTTTCTTGTGTTTCCTTTTCCTGGGTATGTTGCTGTTATGTCTACTCTTCTGAGTGAATGGGTTAGTATTTCGCAATGTCGTATGGATCGAGTTATTAGATTTTCGATATGATCTCTTCACTGGATTGGATTTTGATCGCTCTCAGTCTCTGTTCTGGTTCCACGATGCTTGATTATTATCTCTATGGTGACGTTTCCTTGCGATGCTAGAGATAATTTCGTCATGGGTGTCATTTCGCGTGTATAGTGTTCCCAGCGAATTTTGAGTAAAGCTGCAAATCATAGTGTTTCTCTCAAATTTGGTGTGCTTTTTGTCAATGTGTACATTGGTTGAATCTGTAAGAGGAATTTCTTGTGTTAAGCTTACTGTTGTTCTTTAGCTTTCAGCTTTCAAGAATCGCATTGTTGTATCAGTCACATACTGTTCTATAGTTTGTGTTATGAACCATTAAAAAGTTCTTGAAATGCAGAGTTTTGGTTCCTTTATTTACTAGCTTTATATATATATATATTGGTCGCAGGGTATGTTGACGCTGGGTCTCCAACCGTTGGATCTGGAAGATCATGGAAGTCCATGGAGATGGAGATTCAATCGTTGCTTGAGAAGTTGTTGGACATTAATGATTCCATGAGTAGATGTGCTGCTTCCGCTGCACCCACAACATCGGTTACGCAAAAGCTTGCAAGGCACAGGGATATCCTCCATGAATATACTCAGGTTATCTTCCGCCATGTTTGACTCTTTCCTCTCTATACTGATGTCTCGAGTGAAAATTTGGAGTGATTGCAATACACTGAGGATTTCAGACGTTCTAAATGTGACAAGTCTGATCTTAATGTGATTGGTCTAATTATTTTTTCATCTCAAAACCCTTGGAGAGTAACCCTCGTGCCAAATGGGAATCATGATAGTGTGTAACACATTGTATTCGCTTCATGCATCCGTGACTCAGTACTAGATGAGTAATTGCAGTACCATTTTTTTGGTAAATGTGGAAAAACCATTTGCACTAGTGTGGCTTTTGTTTAGCGGTACTTATACATCTGTAGTAATATGAAGTTATACTTATTATAGGACCCCTCTTCTCGCCTATAATGTATTTCCATGTATTGTAGGAGTTTCGAAGAATAAAAGGAAATATAAACTCGATGAGAGAACACGCTGAGCTTTTGAGTTCTGTCAGGGATGACATAAGTGAATATAAGGTAAGAATCCTATAGCCTCTTAGTTTCTAAAATGAGTCTTCTTTAGATAGGATTAGGAAATATACATTCTAACCTTCTGATGGGAACTCGGGTTCTGTCTTGGCATCTGCAGGCTTCTGGTAGTATGTCACCAGGTGTGCAAGTGCTAAGGGAGAGAGCTTCAATCCATGGAAGTATATCCCATGTAAGATACTTTCTGCAATCATGGCTCTTTATAATGTGAATTATCTAACGATGATGTTACCGCAGAATTTACTAATAGTTTTAGAATCATTTGGCTGCAGATTGATGAAGTTATAGGTCAAGCTCAAGCAACAAGAGCAGTTCTTGGTTCTCAGCGATCTCTGTTTTCAGATGTTCAAGGGAAAGTTAAAAATCTGGGAGACAAATTCCCAGTGATTCGTGGCTTACTTGGTATCTCTCTCTCTCTATTCGAACTCTACATGAAAGATATTCTCAACCAATCTCATGAACCTTTAATTATACTTAAGCAACTTGTCTTCTCTATTTTGTAGGCTCAATTAAAAGGAGACGTTCTCGGGATACACTTATCCTCTCCGCTGTGATTGCTGCTTGTACGTTGTTTCTAATCATCTACTGGCTCTCGAAATAAAAAAAACAGTATGTTCATACACCTAAACTATAAAAAACGAGCTTGCCTCTCGCATCCTTAGATCTATTTTTTTTCAAGTTCTCTTCTTGCTATTGTATTTCGCCGTTTTGTTGGGTTATGTGTTTGTAGGATATGATAATATTACACCCTAAATCAGAAAACAGCTTAAAATTCAAAAAAAAAAAAAAAGGAAACACATTTTTCACAACATCAAAGATCAATCCATGTGACATCAGCCAGGTACTTGTTTTGTATTTTTTTTTTAACCACGCTCGAATTCGTGAATGGTCCTACGTATATACGATGTGGTCCAAAACACACACTATTGCTCTGTTTTGTGTTGGATATTTCTTAGTCCCTATCCCTTTTGTTTTGTTTTCGTCCTCTCGACCACAACACTAGTACGACCCAACTCATAAATTGATATTTCAGCTTGCATTTACATCCGCTCAGGTTATAAAATCTAAAGAGCTCTCTCTTTATTTTTGGGTGGGGACACACTTCACTGATGATGTATCCAGTCCTTATATTTATTTCACTGCCCATGTACTACTTATACTTTCAATAAGTGTTAAATCAATGGGTTCATACCGGTTTAGATCTTTCTTTTAGATTTTGAAAGAAACAAACACAAAATTTAGGTATATAGAACTCTGCTATGGTTAGGTTGGGTTTCATTTTCAACCCTAAAAAATACGGTCGAATGTGAACGGCCAATGAGAAACAGTTTTGATTAAACCGGATTAATCCATTCTTAAATATCATATGCTTATTATTATTATAGCATATAGTCTTGTAGAAGATATAGGTGAAACGAGGAACGTAACAAGAGTTACTCCCACGTACGTATGATTCCGTTAGCTTAGCTAATAGCTTAATTACTTCTGATTATGGTTTTTGAGGGAGATTGTAATTTAGCTTTTGGCTTTTTGCTTTACATTTGCTGGACATAGGACTAGGAATCAGAGTCTTTTTTTCAAAATAAAAGCTTTGTTAGATTCTACGCTTCCCAATGGGAGACCGTTTCTTACGAATTTTAAGACAATAAAACACTTAAAAGGATCAGAAGAGTTTCAGTTGCTCTTTTTAGTTAAAAGTGAAAGAAAAAAAAAGAAAAAAAATCATTGTGATTTTTGTGAAGGCAGATTGATTTATGTAGATCCATAATAAAACATTGAACCGTCACCTATATTCGATAACTCACGAATCGGGGGATACAAACGAACAAATGACTGACTATGTTTCTTTTCTTGATTTCTTAATGAAGTACTTATCATTAAGATGAGTGAGATGTTTTATTAATTCTTATACAAACTTGGACTTAATCCCATTGGAGAAATACAGTTTGAATAGAATGATTGGGTGTGGTTGCTTAAACACACAAAATTATAATGTTTTCATTAGTATGTTACAAATGTACTTCATCTGTTTCATACTTTCATAATATAAGTTTTTTTAAAGTAAAAGCACAAAACAAAAAGTATCATTTAATATACAAGTTAAATATAAAAAAACCCGTCATGATTTTTATAAAATAATGTGATTTTAATGAACTTAAAACACAGTAGTATTTTCGAACGACCGTGTTAGTTAATGTCGTCAATGCAAATATGCACACATATATATCGTTGAAATAGTAAAACTATAATGGTAAGTTAAATGGTAAACTTTAATAAATTTTCTAATGGTGCACTCATCAATTATCAATTACCGCCTGAATCCTATTAGAGATGAATTCGCTCATTGCAAATATAGCATTTCTCCTCTGGTTAGGCTTCGCTGAAATATAGGATCGATGTGACTACAATCGTTTAGGCCCCTTTAAGAAAACTTATGCTTCAATGATTAAGCAATAACTAAAGTGTTAATGAGACAATTAATTATACAGTATGTATCAATTAATTTATTTAATTATAAAGAAGAGGAAAAAGATAGAGAGAGAGAGCTTTAAAATTGTCCAATTTGGCATGTTGTTGTGCCCTAAAGAGAGAAATGTGAGGAGAGAAAAAAGTGCACGTGGCAGAGAGAAGCCTGCGACATAAAGACAAAGAGACGGACCATAGGGTCGGAGCCGAGGAGCCTGGACGGTCCATAAACATGCTATGCCTATTCCCCTACACGACTCTACCCTATGAGCCTATGTCCCTACCTATTCTCTCTCTAGCTCTCCTCTCCGTACTCTTCTTTAATTTAACTTTTCTACTCGTTGCAGTAAAATTACTGTTTGCAATTTAAAGACATTTTTATTCATACACATAGCCATAGGCGATGTAGTAAAGGCGCACGCACAAGATTTAACTTTTTTTTTCATTTAAACAACAACAACAACAAAAAAAAAGATAAATCTATGAAATATAAATGTTACATATGTAGATAAATTTTTTATCTAAAAATGTGTTTTTCTTCATAATATTTTATATACAATGGAGTTTATATTCTAATTTTTAAAATGAATTTTGTTAAGTTTTATCGTGTAGTTGAGAATGAATAATGAAACAAAATTAAGAAAACATTATAGTCGGGGTTAAAAAATATATGTGATCGGATGAAAAATATATATATACTGCATAATCAATTATATACAAATCAAGACCATCAAATCATCAATTGTACTAGCCATATAATCATCGATCTTGGTTTACACACAATCTGAAAATATATATGCATACATGAAGGCATTCACATGTAAATGTCGTTATTTTTTACTCACTTGTAGAGTTTGGATTCACCCCTAATTTTTGTTTTTATCTACACAGTCGCTCTCCTTGATATCCGAGAATTCATAACTTTTTATTTTATTTTATTCAGGCCAATATATATAAAGTGGAATCTTACAAAACCCCCATTTGTTTTGAAGTAATAATTCAATTATATTTTCAGAATCGTAGTTTTGTAGTATAAAAAGAAGATGTAGAATATAGAACTGGAGAAACCCTATAGTCCTCATATCTGATACCTTTTTAAAGCACAGAATAAGTAAATGCTTTATTCACACACATTTATGTATGGATATAGGAATGTGTGTATATAGGAATATTTATGACCAAATTAAATACTATGCTTTGAAAAGCCATTATTCTCCCTTCTGCGCAACAGCCCATTTCTAACTCATCCCTGGCAAGTATTGGCACATTTTTTGTTTTAGATTTATAATTAGTCAACCGAGTCTCTGATCTTAGATGCGTGTTCTTAACTAGAATGGTTCACAATACTATTTATTTAACTTCTGCAAGTAGTCTGTTCTCAAAGTCTCATAAATGAGCTTATTTAGTATGAAATATTAATAGCATTAAACGGAGATTCATCACAAAAATCATTTTAGCAATGAAAACTGTTAACACATCATATATGCTTGATCTTGTACTTTTTCAAATCAATTGACAGTACATATTAACATCACACGTATTACATTATTGGCAAGCTCTAATATAGTTAAAACTGTGCTTTTCTATAGCGGGCCAACGAATATTGATTCGTTTAGGAAATGTTTAAATATGGTTATCTATATTTTTCATATGATTAGAGTGGGTATATAACGGAGCGGGTTAAAAAAAACGAAGATAGAATAACAAAAAAAAAATCGAAAAGTGTTGTATATTGTCGTTGTAGAAAACAAATTGGATCCTTATATTAAAATTACTAAATACATAGTTATATATATACTCGTAATGTTAATGAAGTACGTATTGTGTCAAGTAAGACGTTTTTAGTCGGTGGGGATAAAATGAAGTGACATCAATTTGTTAGATGATATATTAATTTTGTCGTCGTTTGATGTTAATTCTTATACAGTCATGATCGCTTTGTCTATATATTTCACTGTACTGAATTCTTGATTAGTGTATTAATTGATCTCTAAAGACAAATGAGGGTAGATTTATTATGAGGTTGATTTATCAAACCAATTGACCCCATTTTAACTTTCAAACATGTGGGGTTTGCTTTATACCTTTACAATTGGGATGAAAACAAATAAGTAATTAATACTCCAGAAATGAGAAATTAAAGTCGCCAGACATTATATATGTGCAACACACCAATCGAACAATTAATTAAATTCATTTTAATTAATGAATACTGTATCAATTTACTACTAATAGCCTCTTCTGATTGGTTTAGACAAGCTAATGCCATAAACCCCAATCTATTTGTACATCTAATGAGAAAGTACTTACAATTTAATTTAAGCAATAAGCCAATAATTTATGTCAATGTCACCTATGATCTCAGTACACACATGCATGCATGATATACACATATTACATATATGAAGTCTAATAGATACATATGTATATAGTTCTATATACCTATGCATACATGTGTGTACGATCTCTGCATTTCTATCGCCCAAATTGCGACAAAATTGTGGGCTAACCCTAACATTATATTCGTTTCTAGTAAAGTATGATCAGACCAACATTTTCAACTTTTCCTTCATTACAAACCAAAAACTATACACGCCTTAATCACTCAAAACTTCGGCCTTTATATATTTGTATTTGGTCTACCATACCTATATAACTACTTACATATTCTTTTTTGGCAACCAGATATTGTCAGCAATATTTTGGGGTTTGATTCTCTATGTGTAAGTAAAGTTATGTCGAGTTTACAACATCATGTGCTTCTTGGGTAACCCAACCTTTTGAGCTGAAGCCAAATTAACTTCGAGATTTCTATCCACTATATGAAAATTGTAGTAGTTATATTTAACCAGTATAAAGTGATAGCCGATCTTAACCAATACAAAACCTTTTTAAGATACATTCATCAAGTGAATCAATATTGTTCATATTGTTTAATTCCACAATGAAAACAAAATGTAGCAAAATGTAAACACAAACCTTTCCCCGCATGTTTATACATACACAATTGCAACTGTGAGCTATATATAAAAATGTATGTAATACAGATTAATGACTATGCATGATTGGTAAACATTTTGCAAGTTTGTTACGCGATCTAACATGATTCACACTCTAATTCCATAATTCTTCGGATAACCCGTAAATAGTATAAGCTTTTTTTCACTGACATATAAGGATTACTTTGAATTAGTCGAACAAGAAATATATATAAATCGCATCATTTTGCAAGTAGAGGCGTAGATATTTTCTTAGATATACATACTTGAAATAAGAATGAAATATATAAGAAAACATATGTAGGTTTGAAATTAATTACGTGTGGAGTTTTGCTCGTGGCTTTCACCAATATGGTGTTTCTATATATACGTACAT